AATACAAAAATAATAGAAAGTCATGCAAACTCTAAATGAAGCAATAAATTGACACATTCAAACAATTTTTGCTGATGCAGCAAATTATGGTTAGATCTTTCTTTACATTTACATAAAATTTGATTGAAACCTAAAATAAGCATAGATAACTAGTTGACAACCCTAAAACGTATCGGTTGTGAGTACAAAGGCTATTATTCCTCTCATCGAGATCAACAGGTGGCATCAAATCGATGTCAAGCAAGTGATGAGTCAGTACTTTTGTTACGAACGCCGCACGACGCATCGCCAAAATCTACTGTCATTTAGTGAAAGTACTCGGCTAGGTTACATTCCGGCGTGTACGGGTCAAATACTAACACAGAAAGTCGACGCTGTTTTTATTTTTGTAGTAATCACGCGGAAAATATTCACAAAGCTATTTTTTTTTAACGCTATCAGTGAAGAGAGACGGATGATCGTGATTGACGACATTCCGAATCCATCAACAATTTTTTTTTTATTATGAAAACTGACCGCGTGGTGGTCGACCTGACATAGTGTACTGCTAGCAATGGATTACGTTCGAGTATCACATCAAGTGTTACATTACCACAATGAGAAAAGTTGCAAAATACGTCTAACTACCCCTTATTAGATATTAGAATCGTGAGCATATTTTTTGTGATATGAATACTTATATGTATAAAAGCAAAAGAACCCATAAATTTACATTAGATTATCTCCAACAACCATAAACATTCTTTTAGGAATGTTACATTTTTTCCCCCTAAGCATCAGCGTAAGGAAGGAATCCCAGTAATGCAGTAAGGTATAAAAAATGAGTTTCTTAAAATCGAAGCTTTTAGTCGGTGTCCAGTTCATTTTTTTTCTATTCCCCCGAGTTTACGGGCATTCTGTTCCAAAATTTATGCAGTTTATCGTCTTGCTTGAAGCGGACAAGGACGCTAGTAAGTTGACTCTTAAAGGGTCAGAGATTTGTATGTATTGCATCAAGCGTAATGAATAATTACATTGCCATAAAATATAAATAAAAAAAACTTTGCAGAAATTATATATATATATATATAGGTTTAGTTTTATGGCATAAAGAAGTTCTACATAAAAACAATTGTCTTCAATACACAGTTTAAAGAGACTGCTTCAATTGTGACTGAATCAGTTATTTTAATTCAAAAATTAAACTATTAAACCGATATTGATTAAATTTCTATAACATTAGACTGAAAGTATATCCTTTCAGATAAAAAAAAAATTCAAATCGATTTATAACTGACGAAGTTAACACAATCAGTTAAGTTGTTCTTGGTAAATGTTTACCATAATGCACGCAAGGTCAAATCTTTCCTTACCCCAATATACTAATATTACTAATATAGAAAACGGACAAATTGACAAACTGATTTGATTTTGGAAGCCGCTTAAAAATAATATTAGCAGAAGCTGTATAAATATTATACAACTTGTATTGTTTTATTTCATATTCCGGATGTGGGGTGCACTTCCGGCGCCGCGGCGAGCACGAGGGGAGGCATTGAGGCGGTATAGCCGTTATCACTACATTTAATTAGTCGTGTACTATACGCTTATCGGAAAACAAAAGGTTTATCAAATAAAACTCGCGCACTAATGACGAAGGTCTCTACCGTCTGGTATCTCAAATTTTAATTGCATATATCTATTAATATAACTTGATCGCTGCCAAAATAAATGTTAATATGTTTAAATATGTAAATATATTTTTTTATATAACTTAGAATGGCAAACAAGCTGACGGCCCACCTGATGGAAAGTGGTAACCGTCGCCTATAGACATAAGCAGTACCATGGACATAACAGAGTATACTGTTTCGCTCACGATACCCCCCATGCGTTGCCATTCCTGAGGACTCAAGTGTACCCTGTAAGTTCACGCCATATCCCACACTTCAAACCGAAACACAGCCATGCAAACATAACTGCTTTACGGTTGAAACACGAATGTGACAGAGGTACCCAAGCAATCGACTTTTGTACAAAGTCTACCTCTGGTATAAAAATAAAGTATATTTAATTCTTCGACATCCATTCAGTAGTTTTTGCATGAAAGAGTGACAAACGCGTATTCATATGCACGTCCTAACAACTTTCGTATTTATAATAGTAATGGTCATATTGGGGGGAAAGGGATTGTTAGTAATGGAGACTGAGAATCCCATTGCTAGCAATATACCCAACCAGGTCGACCTCCTCGCGGTTCTCCCTGGAAACTATCATGGTTAATTCCTGATGAATTCATCATGATGGGCTAACTGGCCTGTTTGCTTTCTCATCTATCACCCTTCACTGGTGCTCCGACAGCGTATCCCGTTAGCGCAGGCGGGGTTGCCATACCATTTTCACCCATCAAAAAAAATGGTCATATTTAAAATTATTTACTAGAGAGAGCCTGGCTTCTTACATAATAAGTAAATTGTAATCAACATAAAAAAAAATCGAGTTAAATCATGGCAAACCAGTTATTTTGCTTTAAAAGTTAAACTACTAACTGAATCGACATTGATTTATTCTATGAATAAATTATTACTTACTTACTTTCTTTAAAAAAAAAAAAAACTATGAAACTAATCTCAAAGTGCCATGTAGCCCCGGCATAGAATAGGCCACCCCCTCCTTTCCCGTGAGTGTCGTAAGACTAAGGGAGGGCCGCGGAATAAATCGAACAGTCTCAATCACAAGCAATTTTGTATAGTTAAATTTCTATGATTTTACCGCTAGTTTGGAATGCTGTTATTTGTCGAAATGAAGCCATAAGATTAAAACAACAGTTACTCTTTTAAGACAATTTAGAAATTTGATTGGATATAATATCTTTATTGTTATCCATTTATTGGTTTGTTTATTGCCTCTTGACACTTTAACGAATCATTCTAGAAACATTATAGATGTTTCTATTAAAAAATAATAAATATGTTGACATATATAAGTAACTCATACAATTAAAATCAATTACAAAGTACCTATTTGTTAAGTTAATTTTAACTTAGCCTATCCATGCATTGAATTTCATTTAAATCCGTTCAGGAATTTAAGCGCGATTGTGTAACAAACATTCAAAGGATTTTACAAACTGCAATTGTAATATCAATAAAATTTGGGATTCCTTATTAGCATCTATTTTAAACGACGTTTGCTATAAAGGGATTTTTGATTATCAATCAAAATCTTCCTTCCAGTTTCTTTCATACAAACCTTATCTTTAAACGGTGGGATATGGCGTCTATTTACTGGGTACAGAGGAATAACACCTGAGTCCTCAGGAATGGCAATGCATGGATGATACCCCATCATTGGCGAAACAGTATACTCTGTTATGTCCACGGTACTGCTTATGTCTATAGGCGACGGTTATCACTTTCCATCAGGTGGACCGTCAGCTTGTTTGTCATTCTAAGTTGTATGAAAAAAAAAGCTTAGTTTTCGAATCAAAATAACCAGTTCTGTTACAATTTAAGACGGTTTTTTTTTTCTCTGTGAAACACAATCGTAAGATAAAATATATAATATTAATTGTGTGAGCCGCGGTTTAGTTTTAAAATCAGTTTAAACTAAAATAAATACAAGAATTAAGCACTAAACTAAATACGAGTCGACCGGTCCCTAGAAATCCATTGTTACATTAAGGAACGGGCCCCACGCTCTTCCTTTTTTCGACTTCCTGGCGAGACCCTCTAAGGAACTGTCCGACGGAGTCGCTTAATTTGTTCTATAATTGTGTTAAGGTATGCATTATGAAGGTATTTTATAATGATAAATGTTTTTTTAGGAACTCCTCCAATGACCTTGTATGTAATATTAAAATAAAGGTTGTATACATATATATTATAATTTGTTATTACGAATATTATTGGGAGACTGTAATATATATATATATATATATATATATATATATATATAATTAGTGGACATATGGTGAAAAAATATAATATATAATTGAACATACATACACTTTCTTTTTTGAAGTCGATTAAAAATATCTTTTATCACTTTTATTGTATTTAATAAATAAAATAAACGAAAAATATGTATAGTTTGTATTTAATAAACAAAATAAATGAATAATATGTATAGATTGTAGTAAATAAATACAATAAACGAATAATATGTATAGTTTGTATTTAATAAACAAAATAAACGAATAATATGTATAGATTGTAGTAAATAAATACAATAAACGAATTATGTTTGTAGTTTATATTTAATAAATAGAAAAAAAAAAACAAATATGTAGCAGAATTAAAAATGTTTTTGTATTCTCCGTCATGTACAAGAGATTGCCTTACGTAAATGCCTTTTTTCTTATTATAATTTATTGTTTTTTTATTTTTTTTTTTTATAAATGGTACAATAAAGTGTAAATAAAAATTAAACAGACATTTCTGTTGTAATATTTTAACAGCGTGAACGTATATAATTTTGTTTGGCCGCTTGATAATCACGGCTGAATTACTGAACCGATTTTGATGAAATTTTGGATCATATTTCCTTGAACTCTGAAGAAGGATATATAGCCAAGTATTTTATATTGTTAATTATATAAATAATAATTAACTGCTGGTGAATATTGTCACTCGTAAAAAGGTAAATTACAAATAAAATATTTAAAATAAATTATTAAATTTGCTTAATAGTAATGTATTAAAAATTCACATATACGTGAGTAAATAGTGAATTTTATAAATTCTTATTACAAAATACCCACGATGCCTCGAATACAGTGGAAGGCATGCGAGAGTAGGAAAGTTTTCATGTGTACGGTGACCCAGATTGTGCGGAAATGCACAGGCCTAATGTTCAATTCTAATGCAAATATTTAATTCACAAATATTGCATAATTAAATAATTTTTATAATAAATTATTTCATAAAAATCACAAAAATTCAACGAGATATTAAAAAAAATAAAAAAAAGATAGCGCATAATAAAAATAAATAAATTAATTAAATAACTAATGAACTAACCTGGCAGGAGAAGCAGGGCGATGCACAAATATAACACATCCATATTAATGTTCACAAAACGTTCCGTTACGACACTCGCGACGTTTCACTGAAATACGAAAACATGGCGCGTGCAACGCGTGGCACTGTCGAACGCGGACTGAGTGGGACAGACGCGGCAGGTGCGTACGCGCATCCCCCCCGCGCGTCGCCACACTCCCCCCGCGGAGCTTTCGCGTGCTGAATATCCAATTTCTCGATCTGCAGGCGACGTTCTACGTGCCTTGAATATTATGAACTTACTTATTGGGTTAATGGGTGGATATTGTATTTTTTTTATTAATATAATAAAATAGAAAATGTAAAGGCCACTAATCGTTTCAGTGAGTTGACGAGCTAAGATTTTCATGCGACACTCTCGGAACGGGGCGTTAACGACGCACCGTACATTAGACATCAACGCATTAGATGTCGACTTCTTATTTTATCCATTTTTTTTTATAATTTGTACACCTTTTTGTAAACTCGGCTAACTTCGTTTAGGACAATCACTCTGGCAATAGCTAGATCATAAAGGCGTTTTAAGAATGAAAGAACGATGGTGAAAAGACAATTTGCGTTGGAATTGAGTTCTTTTTTTTTATGGGTGAAAATGGAATGGCAACCATTCGCCTAAGGTATTGATATTTTTTTTCTTTTACAACACAGGGGGCAAACGAGCATGCGGCTCACCTGATGGTAAGTGACTACTACCGCCCATGATCACTCACAACACTAACGGCATTGCAGGTGTGCTGCCGGCCTTTTAAAAAGGAATATACTCTTTTCTTGAAGGTTATGTTGTCGTATCGGTTCGGAAATACTACTGCTAGAAGTTGATTCCAAAGAATGGTTGTGCGTGGAAGAAAGTGCCTTGAAAAACACACGGTGGAGAACCACCACTCGTCCAGATGATTGGATTGAAACTTTAGTTTGTGGCGGGTTGTACGGTGGTGATATACACTGGTGGTGCACCAGTGAGTGATGTGATGATAGGTGAAGATGAAGTGACGAATTCACTAGCAAAGATGATTTCCAGATGGGATTGCGTGTAGATCTACCAGATAGAATATATTGTTAGCAATGAGCTTGTTTACCTCCATTACTAATAATCCTTTCCCCTCACAGCCCAGCCCACCCGGCTTTCCTTAATACGCCTATCAAGGAGTTAAAAATAAATACTTACATAGGGCACTAGTGAGGGATGAAAGGTGAGATGGAAAGGCAGGTCAGTTAGCCCATCGTGATGAACACACCTGGAATTTCTGCTGTTACAAAACAAAAAATAATATTGACGATTCCTATAGCGCAGTTGTGATCACGTGCCTTCATGTAAATGACCCAATTTCGATTCCCGTTCGAGTTAACTTAAAATTAAATTAAATATTTAAAATATTTTGTTTTTGATTTTATTAATCTTATTCATTATCATCATCACGTTAGTTGATCACTGTCTCCTGCTAAACATGGAAACCCTGAAAGGGGATTTTGCCAATAGTTGCCACGCTTGACAGGCGGATTGGCAACCACAGTTTGGCTTTGGTGATATTTAAAGATATTAGATTAATCTTATTTATCGTTTTTTTATTATTATATCCGCCGTTGACTGTCCACTGCTGAACATACGCCATGTTGCCACGCTTGGCAGCCGCAGTCAGGCCTTGGAAATGTTTAAAGATGGACGCTGCTACCTATCCCTCGACTATTTAGTTCCCTTACGACACCAACGGAAAAGGCAGGGATGGCCTATTATATGCCGGGACTACATAGGAACTCTTATGTATTTTTTTTATCATTTATGTTATCTCGCTTTTTTTGTATATGTATGTTGTAATTTGTGTGCTGTAAGTAGGTAATGCAAATAAATTATCTATCTATCTATCTATTTATTAAAACATAATAATTAATATTATTATAATTATGTATATAAAACACATAATTTGCTATTTTCACATTATTGCAACACATAAAGTGGAACACGGCAAGTTCCAACGGCAGCGCAACTTGAAACCAGATCGTGCGCACAATATTCTATAACTTAATAGAGTCATCATATTTGTATGAATACAAAATATAAATCACTAGCTTTTACACGCGACTCTGTCCGCGTGATCGGGATACGATTGCCAGCCATGATAGAGTAGCTACCTTTTTTCCTTTTCATATACGTGTATACCAAACTTTTGTATATTCCTGGTACAGAATGGGCCACCCCTTCCATTCTCGTTGGTGTCGTAAGAAGCGACAAAAGCAACTTAAGGGTCGAATGATAAGATAGATAGATACTCTTTATTGTTTCCTCCATAAGATTACAATAGTAAACTTATTATAAATATAAACAATTACAAGAAATGATCACAATGAGAGACCTTATCGCTAAAAGCGATCTCTTCAAGGCAACCTGGATGAATTTACTGGGTACAGAGGAATAACACTTGAGTCCTCAGGAATGGCAACGCATGGGGGGTATCATGGGCGAAACAGTATACTCTGTTATGTCCATGGTACTGCTCATGTCTATAGGCGACGGTTACCACTTTCCATCAGGTGGACCGTCAGCTTGTTTGCCATTCTAAGTTTTATAAAAAAAACTTTTGGATGGAGAGGAGTAATTATAAACAGTTTGATCGGAGGCACGATGAAATATAATATAATATAAATATTTTTATTTCGTTGATTTAATATATCTTAGTCAGTGGTACCAAATCGCAGGTAAATTGTAGTAAATAAATAAATAATTGGAAAACATGACCCTTAGTTAATTTTACATATATTTTAAATACCCTATCGGGATTGAACGCGACAGGTCCTGTCGTGACCATGCCGTCGTAACGTCTACAATATTTTTTTTATTGTTAATAATGGAATGGTTATCCCGCCTCCTCTAACGATATACACTGGCGGGGCACCAGTGAGAGATAATAGGTGAGAATGAAAAGGCAGGTCAGTTAATCCATCGTGATCAATACACCTGGAATTCAGCACAATGGTTTTCAGGGGAGGCCACGTGGAGGTCGACCTTATGAGGCATATTGCTAGCAATGGAACTGATAGTCCGCATCACTAACAATCCCTTCCCCCTAAAATGTAGGTACTATTTACCTGCAAAAAAATTTTCGTCGCGTTATGTACCGATAGTGTATTTAAAACATGACCCTTCTTTCTTAGCGGTCGGGTAACAAGAACTGTGATACTTTTGTGCATTAAGATTATCACGTGTGCTTGGGTTGGTGTAACTTGGAAGCCCTCCAACAGGATTCGAGTCATTGTCTTCTTGCTTCATCACGTATACGCTTTAGAAATTCTTAGTATCAATAAACAAGAACTGGGTACATAATTTACATGCACACACACACACACAACCACACACACGCACACGCACACGCGCACGCGCACGCGGACGCCCGCACGCCCGCACGCACGCTCGCACGCTCGCACGCACGCACGCACGCACGCTCCATTTTTTTCCAATATTAACTTTATTGTTCTTTTTTTATCTCCTACTATTAATTATTGTTTTTTATTTTTATTTTTGGATTGTGTAATTTCAGTGAAATGTATATTGTTTAATTATTATTTAAACACATATCGGTTGGGGGCCTGGTAATCTGTACTACAGGTCTTAACCTATTACAGACACCAGCTCCTCACAGCAGAGTTCCATATTATTTTAAATTTATTTTATCCTAAATACATATGTGTAAATTTAAGTTGTTTGTGAGGAGACATAAATAAATATATTATTATAATTTACATGCAGACTTACACCTCAGTTTATATCAAAAATAAAACTGTAGGCTAGACTTTCGGTTATTTATTTATAGCAAAGTTATAGAATACAAATTAATATATTAATTAATTAAATATTACATAAAACAGCATCAAATTTGAACTCCAATAAATACTCTGCATTACATTTATTATTTTAAAAATTAGAAAAATAACGATTATAGATTTAAATTGACAGTTTTAATCTAACATTGCATAGATTGTTGGAAGATAGCAAGGTCCCTACATACATTGTTATATTTCGTACACATGCGGATAATTGGATTGTGATACGACACATTATTATTACAAATCGGTATATAAAATAGTTTTTGTATTCGTTTATTGTCTTTACGAAATGAAACAAGGCTCAACAATGCGCTAGTGTCCCATTTATAGTTTACTAGCAACCCGCCCTACGCTACGCACGGGTTCTTTACAGAAAATATAAAATAGCCTATGTTACTCCGAGGAATGTAGCTTTTGATAAAATTGGTTAAGTAGTCTTTGATTTAAATCGTAACAAACAAAAAATCAAACATATTGATATATATATATATATATATATATATATATATATATATATATAGTTGCTATATATATTTCGTTGATTTTGCTGTATCTCCTAAGGCATTCATTCAATTTGTATGGTGTAAAGGGGAAAAAAAATCTTCATGAAATGCTTAAGCCAACTGACGTATTTGAAATGATAAGAATTGACACCGTATTTATGTAAAAAGCTTTCCAATTACCGTTTTATAATTGCCCATTTTTTAAAGTATTAAAATTGATATAATATGTTATCCCTAAGAGATAGATATATACCATCGCGGACTTTTTTGTAGACCTTCTTAAGGTGTATAATACTGTAGTACATTATTTTGATCTATCTCGTATGGTTCAGCCAGCGTTTGCAATGTAAGCGCAAAAAGTGTTTATTTACGACATCACATTAGAAAACTCTAAAATTATCAGTGTTCCTCTACTATATTATGCATGTATTATACATACAAACCTTCTTCTTGAATAACTCTATCTATTAAAAAAAACCCGCATTAAAATCCGTTGCATAGTTTTAAAGATCTAAACATACATAGGGACAGACAGCGGGGTGCGACTTCGTTTTATAATATGTAGTGATAGTGATTTTTATAGAGAGTGATGAAATCTGGTATAGATATTCTATTTATAAAAGAATTGATTTTAAAGCAATTAAGTCTTAATTTATACGGATGAAGACCAAACCAAACTTCTCAGACCAAACTTAGTGCTCAAGAATCTAACGAAGCCTTTTTAATTTGCTTTTATTCTGTCAATGTGATTCTGACAGAATGGAGACCAAATAACAGAACAGTACTCATTATTATTATTTCATTTTCTCATCTATTATGATTATTATATACCATAATGTCCTATGTTTTTAATAAGATATGATACCTCTAGTGTTGCAGGCATTCTAGATAGGCTACAGTGACAGTTTACCATTAGACGGCTTGTTTGTCACCTTCGTGGTATAAAAAAGATTGCATCTTGTCAACAAGCAACTTTAAAAATCCGCAGCAGATTTAAAAAAAAAAATATCTACGTCGACAATAATAGATAGAGGAAAACATGCTAGCCTACAACCAAAGATTTCGGAATAGAATTAAATTATAATGTTGTTCTATTGTAAACTTGTTCTTAGTCTACAACATTTACATAAAATTCCTAATTTGAAAGTGACATAACTGTGTAATAGATAAAGTAGATTTGTAGGTTTTATTTTTTTATAAGTAAGGGGGTTAATGTCAATTCGAGAGCAATGTTTACGAGAAGTTTCATGGCACTTGTCCAATAGTTGCAACATAGACCAGTAGAGTAACAAACAAGTGTTACAAAAAGGATGTATTTATTATGCAAAATACCGCATTATAATACCAATGTTACAGAAATAAAAGTCAAAATACGAAAACATAGAGGTTAAAATATTAAGCGATATGGGATGAAATACGAAAGTTCACGAGATGAAATGCAAAGCGATAAGGGTTGAAATTACAAAAAAAAAATTTGATTGTAGGGATTTTAAATATATAATATAAGCAAGTATGTGTATATACTGAGAAAATTTTAATTATTTCCATAGTTTTTAGAAAAAAATTTTGGCTATTAAGTATAATAAAAGAAAATAAGCCAATTTCATGATTACTAATTAATAATAATAATTAATAAACCTGTGAATGGTAAATTCGATGAAATACTCGTAAGCGTTATTATTCTTATTTTTTTTATACAAGTTATAATAGTAAACAAGCTAATGACCCATCTGATGGAAAGTGGTAACCGTCGTCTATAGACCTGAGTAGTACCATAGACATAACAGAGTATATCGCTATTCTAATGGCTTTATTGTAATAATCAAATTATTATAAATCGATTGTCATCCATTTGACACTTATTTTGGCGGGAAACATATAGAAACTCTATTCTTTATTTCAACAGTTAAGTACACAGGTGGTTTTATTTTTAGTCACGTATTCCGCCTCAGCCTGTATATGTCAATATGTAACACCATAATCACTCACCTAATGGGTTAGACATTATTATTACATGCCAACGCGTACCTCGTGAAAGGATCAGCTATCGTGCCTTTTAAAGCTTAAAAGGTGTAATCAATGGCGCGAACACTGTAAGCCTTACGGGTAACGTAAAAAGGTTCTATATCGCTTAATTTTGTGTGTGATATGAAGGAATGCGAAAAGCACTTTCCTTTAACCTTATTGTACTGATGAGGCGCAGACTGATTAGCTTTCAGGTTAACGACGCTATGTTCGGATACTTGCCTGATACGGTGGCATAGCATTTGTCACCGTAACGGGCAACTAACATAACAGCAGGCAAATTAGAAACGTTCGGTTAAAATAGAACGGTAACCCCACCTCCGGTGTTGGTTTATATTAAAGAGAGACCAGTAAAGGACGCTCAATGAAGAATTTCATGTTTTTTTTTTTAATGGGCGACAATGTAGAGGAAGGTATTGGTTTTTTAATGGGTGATAATGGAATGGTAACACCACCCGCGCTATCGGTTTACACCGGCGGGGCACCAGTGAAGGATGATAGGTGAGGATGAAACAGGCAAGTTAGTCCATCGTGACAAATTCAACAAGAATTGTTCACGATGGTTTCCAGGGGGGCCACGTGGACCTAATAGGACATATTGCTAGCAATGAGGCTGTCAAACTCCATTGCTAACAATCCCTTTTCCCCAGGAAGGTATTGTTAGTAATGCCAATCTCATTACTAGCAATATGTCAGGTTGACCTCCACGTGGTCCCCCCTAGAAACCATCGTGAACAATTCTTGTTGAATTCGTCACGATGGGCTAACTGATCTGCTCCATCCTCACCTAGAATTCCGGGTGTATTCATTACGATGGGCTAACTGACCTATCTTTCCATCCTCATTTATCATCAGTCTCTGGTGCTTTGCCAATATATACCTACCGTTAGCGCAGGCGGTGTTACCATTATCTAAAAAACAAATGATTGAAAATGTTATAGTAACATCGTCTACTCTATCATGAAATGTAATAGGTGAGGATGAAATGTAAGAGTCTACCATGAAATGTTTCCTGAAATTTCGGGGTCGAACGAAACACAAAATTAATATTAAAATTGTACGATTCATGCTATTTAAAAATATAAAAATATGTTAAAATATTGATAATTTGGACTTTTATGGTAGGATTTATGACGATCGAAATGTTAAACTTCATTTACTAAGTCGATTTTGGTATAAACAAAAACACAGAAATAAGTGTGAAAATTCGTCAGTTCGTCAGTTAACTTAACGTGACGATTATATAAGAAGTAATCACGATGATTTCCAGAAACAATTACATAGAGGTTGACCTGATAAGGTATATTACTAGCAAGTCTTTTTTAAAAACAATAAAGGATCTGTTAAACCCTATCAGTAAGTATTCTTTTCCCGCCAATTAATTTAGGATACGTCATAAACTACCAACGTGACGAATTTATTAAAAATTAACCACTCTGTATTCCAGAGAGGATTTTTTTTTTATTTATATAGCTGTTTTAAAAAGAAAAAAAAGAGTAAAGCGGGAATTATCCATTACTATCGATTTCACGATAAATAATGCAATTAAGCAAACATTGAACGCTAATTTTCAATGTATGTGAAGGAATACCTAAGGAAGTCTAAAGTTTATACTTGAAGTTTAAAACATTCGTGAAGTAGAACTCAGATAATCTTGGCGCGCTTTAAGGAACTGTGGGAACCGAGCGTATTTTAATTATAATGGGATTTTCGATAATTGTAGTAAGTCATTTGATTTGTAATGTAATATGTACCTTTTATAGTTTAAATATAATCTGTTGTCGTTTGTTGTGAAATATTTTCATATACAATTTGTTTTAATAACATTATTGTACATCGATAACATGATAATTATTTTATAAATAAAACAGGTGTATCACCTATATTGGCTTTGTAATAATAAAGATATAATTAATATAATTCATATTTTATGTGGTCGTCGTGTGGTCGCGGCATAGAATGGACCACCTCTTTCTTTCCCGCGGGTCTTATAAAAGACAGAGAACTTAATGGTCGAAATATGGGCAGCAACGTTCCTTTTTAAACATTATCAAAACCTAACTGCGGTTGTTAACCCGCTTTCCAAGCGTGATAATTACTGTCAAAAACCCCAATAGGGTGAGACCTATATTTAGTAGTGGATAGTAAACGGCTGATATGATGGAGACGATAATAAATTTATGTTTTCAAATCAAATCATATGAAATGAAAGTACTTAGTTTGAACATTTAAATTTAATAAAATTATAAGTGGCTATAATAAAAAAAAATTTAATAATATTATATATGGCATAATAGAATTAAGTATATGATATATTTAAACGATTTCAAGTTATTAATGAATCTAAGTATTTATTAAACAACATCGGCTTAAAACGGAACGCGTAAATGTCAAATCGATATTATACGCTTAAATTATGATGATGACATAGAGCTTTATTTCTTCTCCAGAAAAGAAACAATTCAATAAAGTAGTATTATAGCATTTTGATTTGAACTGTGTAAAAACATTGGGATTTGTTGCATTTTTAATATTTATTTCTTCAAATATGCATTTTTAATATCATAGATAGTAAGGTTAATTAGTGTTAATTGTATGTTGCATATAAATTCAGTGCCTGAGACGTAATTCTTGTACAAAATGAATAACATAAGTTTGCCAGAAGATTGTGCGAAACAGTGGGAAATTCTTTTGTTATTGCTTTCTGCAGAAGAGAAGAAGATTGACAGAACCAGTGATAATGAAGTCGACACCATGAATTACTTCTATAAAAATGAGGGAGTAAGGTAAGACCTTAATATAAAGGCAATTTTTTAAACATTTTCTGACTAGTCATTAATAATAATTATATATTAAACAAAATAATAATAATAGATTAAAATTACTTAATAAAATAATTAGGTTTATATGATAAGTAAATTACTATAGTTAATTTTAAAAGATTTGGGTAGAAATTTAAAGAAAAAATTATTCACTTAACCCGACTAAAAACAGTCCAGTCCAACTAAAAGTTGATTAATTAATTGATTATTTTTATTTGCTTTATAAACTGAGTTCTACTGTTGTATACTACTAGCTGTAACTCATGGCTTAGCCTTATTGTTTGGTTGTATTATAATTTTATATAGCCAATAATGTGTCTCAAGAAATGAGCTATCGAATACAAAAAAATATCAGTGGTTTTTTCTCAACTCAAAAAATGCCAACATGAATGGGTATTTATGTAGTATACACAATATATTTAGATAATTATATACAGAGGTGTGGATTATCATAACAGTGTCATGAGCTCATTATTTTTTCCCCATCTCAAAAAATGCTTAAAGAAATTTCCACTTTAAAAAAAATTATAATCTTAAATTTCTTTTAGAAAAATTCTACTACAGTGGCTACATCAAATGCAAATGTCGTATGCGAAGAAGATGTCCGAATCAGACACAGCTTTGAAGTGTGACGAAGTATCGTTACTTTGGAGGCAACGAGGGAATGACAAGTTCCGTGCGGACTGCTATCAGGAGAGCTATAGGTGTTACTCGAAAAGTGTGCTCTATGCGCATCAAAATAAAGCAATGTATCCCTTAGCGCTAGCAAATAGATCAGCTTCATTATTGAAGATGAAAAAGTTTAAGGTGAGTTTTTATTACAAATGTTTCCTGTGGCTTTACTTTCATGTGTCGTTATATAAACTATCTTATGTATTTAGTTATAATATTATTATTTTATTCTTTTAATTTAAACTAATATTATAATTGTATGTTTGTTTGTTAATTAAATCATAAACTACTTAACCAATTTTAAAAATTCTTTCACCTATAAAAAGCTACAAAATCAGCAAATAATACAGGCTATATATTATTAAAAAAAAAAAATACAAATCCCTACAAAAATTACAATAATGTAAAACAAGGAATCAAAATTTTCCTATAAAACTCACTATTTGGCATGTGCTGTGAAAACTATTGATGATATATAAAATAATGTATTATAAGTTTATATAATAATACTCTTGTAATGACACCATATCATTCAATAAGTGGTTATAATACTATATTTATAAGGTAAAAAATCCTCTGCTCAAGTACCTGCCAGCAATCCACTGCAGCTCTGTTTCTACTCCATATACTACGTCCACACTCGACGATGTTTGTGGACAGCATCTCCTTCTAGGTTTCATTATTATCTCTTTCGATATTCTGTCGCATCTTGGCAGATATCCCACTCGTATGACAGATTTACACAGTACGTCCCAGGTCGAAATCTTCTTCTCAGAGTAAGCGCATAAATCGCGTAGCTTGCCGTCTGCCTCTCCCACACACAACTCTATCTTGAATGAGATACTTCTCCAGATGATCGTACTCTTCTATCGATTTTTTTATCTTTGTTTCTCATAAAAATTTGAAACCCACCATAGTGGTCTTTTTCATTCCAAAATGTTCATTGAAGTTATCTAAGTCCCTAACTTTGATCTTTATCGTATTTGATAGTTGTACATATGTCGTACCCATCTGATCCTATCAAATTTATTGATAGACTTGATTTTACATTACATCAAAATTTTTTAGTTTAGTTCCAATAACCATTTTTTTTTTGTTCAAATTAATCAATAAGATAGATAGTATTTGTACAAAAGTCAATTGCTTGGGTACCTCTGTCCCATTCGTGTTTCAACCGTAAAGCAGTTGTGTTTGCATGGCTGTGTTTCGGTTTGAAGGGTGGGATATGGTGTGAATTTACTGGGTATGGAGGAATAATAACACCTGAGTTCTCGGGAATGGCAACGCATGGGGGGTATCATGGGCGAAACAGTATCCTCTGTTATGTTCATGATACTGCTCATGTCTATAGGCAGTGGTTACCACTTTCCATCAGGTGGACCGTCAGCTTGTTTGCCATTCTAAGTTGTATAAAAAAAATGTACAGCAGTGGACAGTTGAAGGCTGATTTGATGATGATGATAATGATGATGATGATTGCAGGACTGTCTAGCGGACGTAGCGCTAGCCCTGGACAGCGGGTACCCCAAGGAGTTACGGCACAAGCTGCTGCTGCGACGCGCCGACTGTCACATCGAATTGAACCAGTGCAAGGAGGCGCGCGTTGCCATCGCCGCCGCCACGGACCACGCCGCCACGCTCAATCTGTCTTCAGTACACGCAGGTACCAGCCAGTGAGGAATAAAACCATTAGAAAGAGGGGGGAGGAAGGTTTTTTTATACAACTTAGAATGTCAAACAAGCTGACGGCCCACCTGATGGAAAGTGGTAACCGTCGCCTATAGACATGAGCAGTACCATGCACATAACAGAGTGTACTGTTTCACCTTTTACCATAAGGGACCTGGGAAGCCCGGACCATATGGTAAAAGCTAGTGTAAAGTAGTAATTATATATTTGTGTCCAAAATCAATTTTTGCATTTTTGAATTGAGCATTTCCGTACAGCGGAGTTCGAGCGGCACATCAAGAAGTTAGAGGAGAAATTGGACGTGACCCGCGACGTGCAGGCGGAGGAAGCGGTCGTGCTGCCCGAGTGCCACCATGGACTGAACCCTGACTTCACTGCCGCATCCAATGCCATACAGCTACGGTAAATTAACTAGTATTTCTTTTTTATAACACAGGGGGCGAAGGTGTAAACGGTTCGTCTGATGGTAAGCGACTATCAATTTCGCACTTTACCCAAAAAAATGTTATTTTCTAATATAACACTTAAATAAAGTGTAACTGCGTATGCCAACTCGCTTGCCAAGCGTGGCAACTACATGCAAAACCCCTCAATAGCGGGATATAATATAGGCATATTCAGCAGAGAACAGTATTTTTTTTATACCTTTTTTGATATGATGATTATATTATAAATGCGAAAGTGTATTTTTTATGCAACTTAGAATGGCAAACAAGCTGACGGTCCACCTGATGGAAAGTGGTAACCGTCGCCTATAGACATGAGCAGTACCATGGACATAACAGAGTATACTGTTTTGCCCATGATACCCCCATGCGTTGCCATTCCTGAAGACTCAGGTGTTATTCCTCTGTACCCAGTAAATTCACGCCATATCCCACCGATCAAACCGAAACACAGCCATGCAAATACAACTGCTTCACGGTTGAAACACGAATGGGACAGAGGTACCCAAGCAAACGACTTTTGTACAAAGTCTCCCTCTGGTAAGTAACCGGGTAAGGTACTAGATACTGGTATTATTTTTAATGTTTTAAAGCTTGGTTTACAGCTTCTTTTCTCAGATATTCTGCATATAGAACGAATAATTTTTTTTTAAAAATCAACGAAGTGATCTCATAATGGATATTATATTTGTGGGAACGGTATGTGATATTTGACACTGTATTGTTCGCTCGAACTTGTGTGGAAATGTACACGTTGACGTCAATGTGAAACTGCTTACCGTGCGCTCAGTGCCGTGCGCATCGTTTATCGAGGACAGTGCAAGCGATGCAGATTCCAAATACTGCACGTGGCACGCGGCTGTTGCTGTCAATATACTAGCTGTTTCTAGCAATACCCTGTCACGTTGATTACCACGTGGTCTCGCCTGGAAACAGGCGTGGTTAATTTCTAGTCAATTCGTCATGATGAGCCAACTATCCTGGTTTTATCCTCGCTTGTCATTTGTCATCGGTGTTTAGAGGAAATAGGGATTGTTAGGAATAGGGACTAGCGGACACATTGCTAGTAATTTTTTTTTTATACAACTCAGAATGGTAAACAAGCTGACGGCCCACCTGATGGAAAGTGGTAACCGTCGCCCATAGACATGAGCAGTGCCATGGACATAACAGAGTATACTGTTTCGCCCATGATACCCCCATGCGTTGCCATTCCTGAGGGCTCAGGTGTTATTTCTCTGTACTCTGTAACCTGTACCTGTACCATATCCCACCCTTCAAACCGAAACACAGCCATGCAAACACAACTGCTTTACGGTTGAAACACGAATGAGACAGAGGTTCCCAAGCGATCAACTTTTGTACAAAGTCTCCCTCTGGTAGTAATATGCTCAGACAGGTCGACCTCCTCGCGGTTTCCTCTGGAAACTATCGTGGTGTATTCTTAATAAATTCGTCGCGAAGGGCTAACTAATTTGTTTTCATCCTCACTCGTGCCAGCGTATACCGATAACGCAGGCGGGGTTACAATTTTATTACTATACCATTAACTGCAATTCTGTCAGGACGACCTTCACGCGGTGCCCCCTGGATACTATCGTGATTAATTCTTGAGTATTCCTAACAAACTTGTCACTACAGGCCAACTAAAAGTAACCTGTCTTCATCCTCACATATCAATCCTCACTGCATCCCCCTGGAAAACATTGTGCTGAATTCCAGGCATATTTATCACGATGAGCTAACTGACCTGCCTTTTCATTCTCACCTATCATCTCTCACTGGTGTCCCGCCAGCGTATACCGTTAGCGTAAGACGGGGCATACCATTCCATTGTCATTGAAAAAAAGTTTTCAAAGGTCATTTATTATTGTTTCAGCCGAAACGACACGGTGGGAAGGCACGTGGTGACTCGCGAGGCGACCAGGCGTGGTGACGTGCTGTTCAGCGAAGAGCCGTATGCGTGGGTCGCGTTACCAGCTCAGCGGCCAGTCTGCGAGGCGTGCTGCCGGATCGATATCAACACCGTGCCGTAAGTCATATAGGAACAGACATAGTTTGCCATTCTAAGTTGCTTAAAAAACTATTCGATCACACATTGTTTTGTTATATTTCAAACGGATTAGGCAACGTCTTCGATGGAAGCTGCCAGACTGCTTGATTTTTTCCGATGTCTTGAACAATCATCGTCCATTTTAACCAATTTACATAAAACCTTAACGAATTATACGCTTATATCTTTCTCAGGAATCGCTCTGTTCAATAATGAAAGCTTCATCAAAATCCGTTCAGTAGTTTTGGAGAATATCGCGTACATACAGACAGACAGACGCAGTAGGGGACTTTGTTTTATAATATGTAAAGATTAAATATAAATCACAATACAAATGGTCCATGTGAACCCTGCATAGAATAGGCCAGCCCTTTCTTTCCCGTAGTTGTCGTAAGAGGCGACTAAGGGAGGGCGAGGGATGGGTAGCAGCGTCCCTCTTAAAACATCTCCAAAGTTTAACTACAGTTGCAAATCCGCCTGCCAAGCGTGGCAAGCGTAACTAGTGACAAAACCCAGTAAAGAGAAGGTTTAATTCCAGCAGTGGACAGTTAAAAATTGATCGAATGATGATGACCTATAAATCAACTTTTCCAAAATAAATCTAATTTAACATTTTGTATAGGTTAACAACAATCATTGGTACATATATAATATAAGTACCTTTAATGTATTCTATATATATGTATTACGTAATTATATTTTATGCCGTAATTATATTTTATACAAATTTTCTTACCATGAAAGTAAAATTGTAAATCAAATAAAATAAATACAAATAAAAGATGTAAGTACCTAATTAATAGAATTGAAGTAACTGTGCCACTCGTCAGCTGCCTCGTGTTACATGGAAAATTACGTTTAATGCAATGCAATGCAATGGGTATTGTCAGCAAATGTAACTTGAACTTGGTGTCTATGCGAGGACTTTGTAACATACGAGTTTGTTGACATTAAATTTTGCATATAAATTATATTTTATAACTCGTTCGTTTATTTAGTATATTTTTTTATTATTTTAATGGATGATAATGGAATGGTAACCCCGCCTGCGCTAACGGGATACGCTGGCGGAGCACCAGTGAAGGGTGATAGATGAGAATATCATGTTGAATTCATCAAGAATTAACCATGATAGTTTCCAGGGGGAACCGCGAGGAGGTCGACCTGGTTGGGTATATTGCTAGCAATGGGATTCTCAGTCTCCATTACTAACAATCCCTTTTCCCCCTATATATATATATATATATATATATATATATATATATATATATATATATATATATATATAATGAGTAGGGATAATATTTATATTATTATATGTATCACATCTCCCATATTTAGAACTAACAAAATTTCTCATCGTGCCTCCAACCAAACTGTTTATAATTACTCCTCTCCATCCAAAGGTTGCCTGGAAGAGATCGCTCTTAGCGATATGGTCGCCCATTGTTTTCTCATTATGATTATTTCTTGTAATTGTTTATATATATAATAAGTTTACTATTGTAATCTTTTGGAGGAAACAATAAAGAGTATCTATCTATCTATTTTCATCTGTGCATGGACGAGTCATAGATTATTGATTTTTTTTTTGTTAATTTGTATTAACATACAAATGTTTTAATTATCATTTAATCAATATCTTAATAAATCTATCTTTTAATAACTTTTTTTTACTCATACCTTAAAAAGCACTGCTTTAAACAAACATATATATCCACGTGACTGTGCAGTTGTGGCGGGTGTTCGCGCAGCGTGTACTGCGGGGTCGAGTGCCGGACGCGCGCCGTGGGCTTCCACCGGTGGGAGTGTGTGGGTGCCCAGGCCGAACTCTTCAAGACCATCGGCATAGCGCACCTAGCTTTAAGGTATTTCGTAATAATAATACCATATTTATACCAATGAGAGACTTTGTACAAAAGTCGTTTGCTTGGGCACCTCTGTCCTATTCGTGTTTCAACCGTGAAGCAGCTGTGTTTGCATGGCTGTGTTTCGGTTTGAAGGGTGGGATGTGTTAGTGAATTTATAGGGTACAGAGGAATAACACCTGATTCCTCAGGAATGGCAACGCATGGGGGGGTATCATGGGCGAAACAGTATACTCTGTTATGTCCGTGGTACTGCTCATGTCTATAGGCGACGGTTACTACTTTCCATCAGGTGAGCCGTCAGCTTATTTGACATTCTGAGTTGCATAATTTTTTTTTATTATTTTCTTTGACAATCTCGTTACTGTAGCGGTTTATCACACCGCCTCACCTTTCAATGGTCGCCGGTTCAATTCCGGTATAATACAAACTTTTTTTATTCATACAGATAGCTGTTTGTATTAGTCTAGATGTTTTCTACGTGTTTATTATAAAAAGTGGTGATTCACAAAAAAAATCTGACGTCAATTATGACAAGATCAGTTGTTTTGATCTAAAAACTGGACTATTGAGCCGATTTCGTTAAAATCTTTATGGAACTAATCTGTAAGTATATACTTTTAGATAAAAAAAGAATTTTCCAAATTGGTTCAAAACTGACGAAGTTATGAGGTAACAAACATAAAAAAAATAACCGAATTGAGAAACTCTACGTCTCAGTGGTCCAGTGACCATAGTACAAGCTCTGCTTAATTCAAAACAAGATGACGCCATGTTTGGTTGTATTTTTTTTATGCATAATGGGATAAGAAATTGTAGTACATTACTACAGCGGCCAGCAACTGAGGCATTGATGGACGAACGTGCAAATGTGGGCTGAGGCGTAGCCGAGGCACACATACGTGAGTCCATCAATGCCTAGTTGTGGCCAAGGCTTGTACAGTACTTTTCTCAAACAATGCGCGGAAATCAAAACAACAATTTTACTTTTTAAGTTCAATGACGAATAACGAACAATAATAATTTTTCACGCGCCATAATGTTCCTTATTTTTTTTTTCAATAAACAGCTTTCTATTTGCAAGTCAGTTCGAAATTTAAATAAAACCTTTTATTAGTTACCTGGCCGCAAAATACGACAGATATGGATTTTCATACAACTTTTGCCGGCCGCTGCCCGCATGTATCTGGCCATTACGGCAATTTTGATTTATCTCTAAGAAGATTGTCAAAATAATGCTCACATTTCCAAGCATGTTTGAGAAAATATATATACTGGTGTCCCGCCGACGTATACCGATAGCGCAGGAGGTTACCATTCCATTATCACCAATTAAAAAAAAACTATAAGTTCATAACAAAATGACGTTTTAAAAGAGAATATAAACAAATCTATGATATGGTATTCTCTGACTTGTATCTATAATAAGTTTACTATTATAATCTTTTGGAGGAAACAATAAAGAGTATCTATCTATCTATTTGAATAAAGATAATTTCTATTCTGTGGATTTGGTCCAACAATCACCATTTTTATTCATACAGGGTGTTATTAATCACCGCCAACGAAGGCTTCCCGCCCGTCCCGAGAACGGAACCCGCGCCGTCCACCGCAAGTGAACTGTTCCGCAGTTATTCGCGGGTCGACAACATACACATATACAAGAGCGGCACGCACCCCTTCTACAGGATGTTCAATTTGGTGACCAATTTCGAGAAAATGAACAACACAGACTATATACAGTATGCGCTGGTGAGTGTCTCGCTAAACCACATAGAAGTTTGCTGTTGGTAAAGCGCGAATGGCAAATTATTGATAAATCTATGTATGTACTATGTACTGTATATAATTACTCCTCTCCATCGAAAGGTTGCCTGGAAGAGATCGCTCTTAGCGATAAGGCCGCCCATTGTTCTCTTGTTGTGATTATTTCTTGTAATTGTTTATATTTATAATAAGTTTACTATTGTAATCTTTTGGAGGAAACAATAAAGAGTATCTATCTATCTATCTGTTTGCGTACGTTATAATAAAATTGTAACCAAACGATGTCTGCATGGGAGATGTTTGAGAAAAATTGATAAGAGACGTCTTAATCAGAGCAATAGAGTATATTTATTTAAACTTTAATGCTAAGTAAAATTCTATGTACATTCGGTGGGCTTAACACCGGACGGTGTTCACTACCAGTCAACCATTGGGCAAACAGAGAAATACGTATGCGGTGCATTATTGAATAGAGGAAAAATGAAGCAATACTTGATAAATTCATGTAATATAAACATACACATAATATATTTAATATATATATATATATAGATTGATTGTCTGTATGTTTGTATTAGATTTATTTTGATATACCGTTTAGAACTAATTTATTGTTTTTTTTTTTTATGTTTATGTAATACGAAATCATTGCTAAACCGATTTTAATTATACCTTTTTCAATCGAAACAATATTTGGTGCATTGTACAGACAGCGACAATGCTGACTCTATACCTGGAGAAGTACACAACGTTCTTCGAGTACCTGCCGTCGCGGGTGCCATACGGCCTGCCGGACGGGCAGCTACAGTTGTTGGCGGCCGCCATTATACTGCGCAGCCTCGGGCAGCTGGTGTGCAACGGACACGCGGCGCTCAGCCTGGCCACTGTCGAAGAAGAGGACGATTCTAATGGTGAGCTTCTAAGCTGTGGCTGAACGGAATGAACGAATCGAGTGAATGAAAGAACGGATAAATTAAACAACATCTTTTTTTTGTACGGGAATGAATATTTTAGTGAATCAATTTATGAATGAATGAATGATTTTCTTTCTCGTATCGAGCTGTCCAGTTATGGAACAAACTCCCTTCCCATATACAAGAGAGTCCCTCTATTACCTCTTTCAAGAAGAGGTTGAAATCACATTTTCTTTCCCTTGAGTGATATTTTTTTTTTTGTATTTTTCTAATTGAACTGTCAAATCTTAAAATCATTAAACGAAATTTCTAATGTATGTAGTATATTCATTTATTTTAACATTTATTATATAAGTAGGTAGGTATTGTATGTATTTATAGTGTATGTATTTATGTAATATTTTATTATAAATTTTAATATTTTATTTAACTGTATATTTGTTTATGTATTAATAGTTGTAGCACTTCAGCTGGCCGCTAACGAAATGCTTTCTTACTGTACTGGGTTGACTGGAAGAGATCTCTGTCAGAGATAAGTGCACCCTTGCTCACAACATTTATAAATAGATTATTTTATATGTAACTTACATGTGCAATAAAGAATATATATGATTTTGAATTCGTTTTGATCTAAAAACTATGGGATCTATGGGACCAATCTATAAGAATGTAGTTTCAGTTAAAAAAAGTATTTACCAAATCACTTTACAACTGACAGCGTTACGAGATAAGAAACTTTAAAAAAACAACCGAATTGATAATATCCTTCCTTTTTGAAGTTGGTTGATAATTATAAATAATATACCAGAGGGAGACTTTGTACAAAAGTCGATTGCTTGGGTACCTCTGTCCCATTCGTGTTTCTACCGTGAAGCAGTTGTGTTTGCATGGCTGTGTTTCGGTTTGAAGTGTGGCAGTGAATTTAGGTACAATGAAAACAGGGTACACAGGAATTGCAACGCATGGGAGGGTATCATGCTCATCACAGTATACTCTGTTATGTCCATGGTACTGCTCATGTCTATAGACGACGGTTACCACTTTCCATCAGGTGGGCCGTCAGCTTGTTTGCCATTCTAGGTTGTATAAATATATATATATATATATATATATAAATATATATATATATATATATATATATATATATATATATATATATATATATATATATATATATATATATATATATATAATATATATATATATATATATATATATATATATATATATATATATATATATATATATATATATAAACATATAAATAATAATAAACATACATCCGTGTAACGGACACCCACGGACGGATGTCGCAACATCGCGATATCATTTTGCAATGCTTTTAAATTCTTTGTAACGTTTTGTAATTGATCCGTATTTAATATGAAAACAGTGGGACGGCTTTATATTTCACATAGTCGGTTTCTATAGAACTTAATGGGAAGGTTGTAACTGAGGTTTGTCGCATTTTTTTTAATAATAATAGATAAATAGATACTCTTTATTGTTTCCTCCAAAAGATTACAATAGTAAACTTATTATAGATATAAATAATTACAAGAAATAATCACAGTGAGAGAACAATGGGCGGCCTTATCGCTAAGAGCGATCTCTTCCAGGCAACCTGGAAGCATTATATATATATATATATATATATATATATATATATATATATATATATATATATATATATATATATATATATATATATATATATATATATATATATATATATAATATGCAATGTAGAAACAATGTGGTGTCAGTGTAGTTCAGCCTTTCACAAAGTGGGGGATAACGCTCCCTTGTGGGCGCTGCAGGTCTAAAAGGGGGCGGTAAGAAAAAAATTTGTAAATCTTGAAGTAATAGTGGTTTTTAAGTAGGTGAAAAAATGGAGGCGCTAAAAAATAATTTATTCTCAAAGTGGGCAGTAGACAAAATAAGTTTGGGAACCCCTGGTATAGATTGATTAATGATATTACTATTGTATCTTAATTGACATCCAAACTCCTTATCACCATCATTTCTGCTGTTAACTGTCGACTGATGAATATCAGCCTTCTCCATGAGGGGAGTTTTGTCAGTACTTGCCACGCTTGGCAGGCGGATTGGCAAGTGCAGTTAGGCTTTTATAGATGTTTTAAGAGGGACGCTGCTGTCCATCCCTCGCCGTCCCTTAGCCGCCTCTTACGACACCCACGGGAGAGGAAGGGGTGGTCTATTCTATGCCGGGACCACAATGCATTATTTATTATACTGTTCATTGATTTCATTACGTCTACCATCATCATATCAGCCACTATCCGTCCACTGCAGAGGGGGAGGGGGGGTTGCCAGTAAATACCATGTTTAGCAGGCGGATTGGCAACCGTAATTAGACACTGCTGTCCATCCCTTAGCCCTCCCTTAGCCGCCTCTTACGACACCCACGGGAAAGGAAGTGGTGGCCCATTCTATGGCGGGATCAGACGGTAACTTTTAATAATAAACCTGAATAATTCCCATAACAGGTTGCACGGTGAGTGAGCGCGAGGTGCGGCGCGCGACCGCCATATACCCGTCCGCTGCCATGATGAACCACTCCTGCGACCCCAACATCATCAACACGTGAGTGCAACTTATTAACCCTTTGCTGTGATGATCAAGATCGCCGAGTAAGAGTCGCCCATCACGCCCTACTCTTTTTTTTTACATAACTGAGGTGGCAAACAAGCATACGGTCCACCTGATGGTAAGTGGTTACCGTAGCCTATGAACACCTGCAATACCAGAGGTATAACCCTGCCTGCGCTAACGGGATACGCTGGCGGAGCACCAGTGAATGGTGATAGATGAGAATGAAAACAGGCCAGTTAGCCCATCATGATGAATTCATCAGGCCTAACTGCGGTTGCCAATCTGTCTGCTAAGAGTGGCAATAACTCCCAAAAGGGAGCCTTATGTTCAGCAGTGGACAGTAAAAGGCTGATATAACGATGACGGTTTTAGGTTCTACAACAGCCGGCTAATAATCCGGTGTAGCCGTGAACTGCCTGCCGGCAGCGAGGTCCTGAACTGCTACGGGCCTCATAGAGCCCGCGAACCAACCGCACACCGCCGCGCACAGTTACGTGCCCAGTACATGTTTAGTTGCACATGCACCGCCTGCATCGACACCGAACGGAGAGACTTCGTTGTGAGTGCATTTTTTTTAACCCATTTTTTGCATGATTTTTTTATTGGTGAAATAAATAATTCATGTTTTTAAATTAAAGGAAAAATGGTTAAAAAAATAAATTTAACAGCTATGTTTTTTTTTCTGCAATGGATATTAATAAGGTATCCAGACATGATCAACTTTTTTTTTATACAACTTAGTATGGCAAACAAGCTGACGGTCCACCTGATGGAAAGTGATAACCGTCGCCTATAGACACGAGCAGTACCATGGACGTAACAGAGTATACTGTTTCGCCCATGATACCCCCCATGCGTTGCCATTCCTGAGGGCTCGGGTGTTATTCCTCTGTACTCAGTAAATTCACGCTATATCCCACCCTTCAAACCGAAACTCAGCCATGCAAACACAGCTGCTTCACGGTTGAAACACGAATGGGACAGAGGTACCCAAGCAATCGACTTTTGTACAAAGTCTCCCTCTGGTATATATAATAAGTGGTATATATATAAGTGTATGATACCTGTGACCAGCTGCTGTTCACCGCGTACGCGTGCCAGTCCTGCAAGGGTCCAGTGGTGTGGAGCGGTCGCCGTGCTCATTGCCAGCAATGCAACGCTGAGTTCCACCTCGAGCGGGCGCTGGCTGCTATCGAGCATGCTGACGAGCTACTGGCGCAAGGTGAACTGGTTGCCACTGGCACCTCTTAACCGGTTTTTTAGCAAGATAAAATCCTTATATACAGGGTGTCCAGCAATGAATGGATAACCTTGAAACGATATGACGTTTTTGGAACAATTTAAAGAACGAACATTTGTGTCTCCAAATGTTCGCTGCCTGGTTTACATTATAAAGTCGGTATATCGTTTACATACAGGGTGTCCGGTAATGAATGGATAACCTTGAAACGTCTTATAGTTCAACTTATGGCCGTTCTAAAAAAAAATACGAAACAAAATACATCATAAGTAGTACCTTTGTTATCTTTGTTTTAAAGTAAAGTCAAATTTTTTCTATCTTTATTGTACTGTCCTGATCACTATTTATTTATTTATTTATTTATTTATTTATTTATTTATTTATTTATTTATAAATGACACACCAACAATATACTCACAATAATTAAGCAGACAATATACAATGTTATAAGTAAGTAAAAGAGAAAAACTACTATTAAAAAATGCTTAAATCTAAGTGTGAACAAAAAAATCTAACTCCTCACTACCAAGCTTAAGGCCATATGAACACATCAATTAAAGGTGTATACAGCTCTCACAGATAAGCGTCAATGTATACTAACTAACAACTATGACCGGAAATGAATGAATTCTATTGGTTTTTTTGTTGTTTTATTATTATACACTAACTGTGCCGATAGATAGAAAGTGAACCGTATGACTAGCTAGTGCAGTTTTTTTTTTAATACGCAAATCAATTTATTTTTGAAAAATATGCAAAATAAAAAAAATTGTTAAGCAAAGTTTAAACTTCTTGGGTATAAAAAAAATCTATGAATACATGAGTGACCAATAATTTTAAAATAATGTCTGTTTCAAGTAGATTAGACCAGAGGGAGACTTTGTATAAAAGTCGATTGCTTGGGTACCTCTGTCCCATTTGTGTTTCTACCGTGAAGCAGTTGTGTTTGCATGGCTGTGTTTCGGTTTGAAGGGTGGGATATGGCGTGAATTTACTGGGTACAGAGTAATAACACCTGAGTCCTCAGCAATGGCAGCGCATGGGGCGTATCATGGACGAAACAGTATACTCTGTTATGTCCACGGTACTGCTCACGGCGACGGTTACCACTTTACATCAGGTGGGCCGTCAGCTTGTTTGCCATTCTAAGTTGTATAAAAAACAAAATAAAATTACAATGGTACAATACATAACTGTATCTGTCATAAATAGTGACTTATTGCCATTAATGTGGGAAAGGAGAAAATTTGACTAAATAACAAAATTTGTAATTTATATGTACACATCACATAAATATTGTATTCCGCGACGGTATCTTTGAAATAAACTGCAGTGGGTATCTGGCATCTTGACGTTTTACCACATGGTGACAGCGGGTGCTTAATTAAATTAATTTAATTAGTTGTTAGTGCGTAATTGTGATAAATACTTATCGATTCTAGCTATTTGAGTACATAAAAAGTAAACTATGGAGCATGCGAGACCGCGACCGAGTTAATATTGGAAGGCGGACCAGCAAATCGCGCTGACGCGTGGCGGAAATGGCTCAAACAATTCATGGTCTTCGTGAAGGTGCCAGGAGTGCACAAGGAAGGAAAAGACGTACAAGCGAATTTATTGATCAACCTGATAGAATAGGACCAGACAGAAAGGAAAAGTGTTGAGCGGTGTTGGGACAATGTACAGGACGTAGCAGTACGTCAAATAAAAGAGACACTGTGTAGAGCTCCGGTACTAGCTCTATATTCGGCAGACAAATCGATTGTGGCGACTGTGGACGCGAGGGACATAGCGTTGGGCGCTGCACTGCTACAAGATGGCCGCCCTCTGATGGACGCTCACGGAAACGCAAACTCGATATGCGTAAATTGAAAAGGAGCTGCTGGCTATTGTCTTCGCTATGGAACGTTTCCACCAATATGTTTACGGGATAACAGATATTGTGGTGGAAACTGACCATAAGCCGCTGGAAGCGTCGTTTAAAAATCATTAAATATGGTTTTAGCACGTTTATATTTTTTTGTAAAATATATGCTTGGTAAATATATGTATATTGCAGACACTGTCAAGGGCTGCCTTGCCAGACTTGATGTAGGGAAAATTACAGTAGATTTGGAAGACCAAACATATTTTGTTATAAATAATTTGCTCTTTTTTTGCTCGGTTTTCAGCTTTTTGCAGGGTAGTTGCAATTGATGGTCCTGTAACGGTGGTTATTTTCCAAGAATACTCTGATAGTAGACTGTTGAGAGTTTATTTTTTATGTGAAGTTGTGTTAGAATAGATATATTCGTGTGTTTTGCTGTTCAGGGAGTTTTTAGCATTTTTAGTTGTCGGTTTGAGGGCTCTCGGTTTCGATGTGTCCTTGGTGAGGACAGTACCGGCGCGTCGAGGGCGCCCAGGACGCCTGTTCCACGCGCGGCCGACGCACATGAACAGGGACGACCTCGCCCGGCTCTACAGCACCGAGGTGCTGCTGAGAATGCCGGGCGTAACCATAGTACGGCCACGCTTCATCCGACTGCCATCGTCCCATCAGGTGCGTCCGCTGCGCGAGGGCCCACACGGCCAACGACCGGCGCTGCCCGATGTACAAAAGGGAGGCGCGCCGCCGGAACATCGCGCCGACCGCGCCGATGCCTCCCGCGCCCGCGGCGGCGCCAGGAGAGTGGCAAACCGTCGGCAAGGGGCGCACGAGGGCGCCCCCCACCCATACGACCCGCCATATGGCGCCCGCAGTCGCACAAAGTGCGACACAACTGCCCTCCGCCACCCAACCCGCGCCGGTGCGGCACGAGCCGGCGGCGGCGCCGGGAGAGTGGCACACCGTCGGCAACACCGGGACCGCACAACGACGTCCTACTACAGTGTCGGATAACCGAACACAGTTAACGGCTGCTTCTCAAAGAGCACGGCAAAGATTAACTATATTTATTAATAAATGATAAATAGTAAAACAAATGTGTGTTAAATTTAATTATAAATAGATAAATAGATACTCTTTATTCTTTCCTGTTACTTATGATGTATTTTGTTTCGTATTTTTTTTAGGACAGCAATAAGTTGAACTATAAGACGTTTCAAAGTTATCCATTCATTACCAGACACCCTGTATGTAAACGATATACCAACTAGGCAACGAACTTTCAAGGACACAAATGTTCGTTCCTTAATTTTTCGATTTCCAGAGAGCCCCACGTGAAAATCAACCTATCTAGACATATTACTAGAAATGGAATCCGTAATATTTCTAATAATCCGTTTCCCCTATGCCATAGAGGTATGTTTTAATAGATAACAATGGAATTGCAACCCCACCCGTGCTACATTAATTAACCCATCGTGATAAACATATCTGGCATTCAAAACAATGGCTTATGAATGAATGAATATACTGTATTTGCATTATACAATATAGGAAATAAACAAGACAATTTACAAACACAACGATACAATTGTACAAGTACAGTGAGGCGGTCTTATTGCTGAGAGCAACCTTTCAAAGACAACCTTAAGGTAATGGACTAATTGTTGTACAAGTAGGTATTGTATAATTAAAAATAAAACATTAAGGTAAAATAATTATAAGTATTAATTATACATAAGTATAATAGTCAAATAATAATAATAAAGTGATTAACTGTACATAGTCACCAGAGGGAGACTTTGTACAAAAGTCGTTTGCTTGGCCACCTCTGTCCCATTCGTGTTTCTACCGTGAAACAGTCGTGTTTGCATGGCTGTGTTTCGGTTTGATCGGTGGGATATGGCAGTGAATTTACTGGGTACAGAGGAATAACACCTGAGTCCTCAGGAATAGCAACGCATGGGAGGTATCATGGGCGAAACAGTTTACTCTGTTATGTTCGTTGTACTGCTCATGTCTATAGGCGACGGTTACCACTTTCCATCAGGTGGACCGTCAGCTTGTTTGCCATTCTAAGTTGTATAAAAAAAAAAATATATAATCCCAGACATGTTTATATGGATAGTTAGAGAGCCTTACGTGGTTATATGGTTTTTATATTGGTGGATATATTGTGAACAATGGGGCCCTCATTCTCCATTATCAATAGCCACTTCCCTGAAGGTGTATCAGTAACAGTGTTGTGCCACCAGCGGAACGGTGCACGAGCGTGGAACAGCGCTGCGAGCGGACGCAGGCTGCGTTCAAGCTGAAGCAGCAGGTGTGGCATCGCCACCACGTGTCGCTGCGGGCCGCCGCCGACACCCTCGCCAGGCTGTACGCGGACACCGGTACGGTATTTACTATACGGGGTCATCATCATCATCGTCTTCCTACCTATATCCCAATGGGGGGAAGGGATTGTTAGTAATGCGGTCAAATAGCCCCATTGCTAGCAATATACCCTGTCAGGTCGACCTCCACATGGTTTCCCCTAGAAACCACCGTGGCTAGTTCTAGTTGAATTCGTCAGGATGGGCTAACTGACCTGCTTTCATCCTCATCAGTCATCTCTCACTGGACTCATATAAATTATATTGTACTTATTACATACTTGTTTGTTTTTTTTTTTGATGGGTGAAAATGGTATGGTAACCCCGCCTGCGCTAACGGGATACGCTGGCGGAGCATCAGTGAAGGGTGATAGATGAGAATGAAAACAGGCCAGTTAGCTCATCATGATGAATTCATCAGGAATTAACCATGATAGTTTCCAGGGGGAACCGCGAGGAGGTCGACCTGGTTGGGTATATTGCTAGCAATGGGATTCTCAGTCTCCATTACTAACAATCCCTTTCCCCCCAACATTATTGTACTGTATAAATTAATATAACAATAATTTCTAATTCCTTGTAAATATAATTAATAAAATAGATTTAGGATTAGAAGAAGCATTTATCATTACGACTGTATTGTTTCAGGGGAATTCAGTAAAAGCGTGGAGTTAATAAAACACAATATACAAAGTCTGGAGTATCAATTCGGCTCGTTCAGTGTGGAGGTGAGTGTGCACACGTGTCCATAGACAATCTAACGTTTTATTAAGTTTTTTTTTTTACAACACAGGGGGGCAAACGAGCATGCGGCTCACCTGATGGTAAGTGACTACCGCCGCCCGTAATCACCCACAACACCAGCGGCACTGCAGGTGTGCTGCCGGCATATAGTTTTTTTTTTTTTTTACTTAACCCTTTTAGTGCGATTCATTTTTACTCATATCTACTCAAAAATGCCAAAGAAATCTTTGTCGTGTCGATGTCATTTACCCTTGTCTCTAAAAAAACTGTGTCTCCTCCAAAAAATATCCAATTTTAATATTTTTTTATACAGCAAGCTAAACAACGACTGATTTCACGAGCGCTATGACGCTCGTGGCACATTTAGTTGCAATGCGCACGAGCGCGATGTCGCTCGTCGGCACTCAAAGGGTTAAAACCCTATCTTTTTTTTTATACGCCTTAGAATGGCAAACAAGCTGACGGCCCACCTGATGTAAAGTGGTAACCGTCGCTTATATACATGAACAGTACCGTGGACATAACAGAGCACACCGTTTCGTCCATGATACCGCCCATGCGTTGCCATTCCTGAGGACTCAGGTGTTATTCCTCTGTACCCAGTAAATTCACGCCATATCCCACCCTTCATACCGAAACACAGCCATGCAAACACATCTGCTTGGATACCACTGTCCCATTCGTGTTTCTATTACAAAGCAGCTGTATATGTTTGTAGCTAGACGCGTTGATTTAAGAAAGAAACATCAATTAAATAAATTCCTTGTAAATAGGTTTTTTTATATATATATATATATATATATATATATATATATATATATATATATATATATATATATATATATATATTTATATTTATTTATTAAACAATGTAACAGTTTTCTTCACACAATAAAAAGTCAATATTTACATTATAATATTTAAATTAATAAAATAAAATTAACATGATAAATTATTTATACTACACGTCAATATAATGATAAGTACGTGCCAATAATGATAAATTATTGGCACGTAGTTACAAAACATTGTATTGTAATTTTTCACACTTATTGTAAATTGTCACACTTATTACACATTGTAAATTGTCACACTTATTACTGTCAAATATAAATAAATTATAAATAAATATGGTAATATGTCATAATTTATTTATTGGCATTTATATATTCGGTATATTATTCTTTCAACACTAGTGTTCATTTAGCGTGTATAAAAAGATTGATGAATGTGGAGGAAGCGAAAGAGGTTTGTTTGAATCGAAGCATTTGGCGTTCCACTGTTTCTGCCTATCCTAATGGGAGACAGGCGTGACAAATATGTATGTATGTATGTATGTTCATTTATTTTTTCATTCATTCACTTGTAGATGATGCGTCGTGATGAAATATATACCAGATTTTGAGTTCGACTTACAGAAATATTGTCGTGTAAACCGCATCCAATTTGGTGGTGTAGTTTTTATCTGATGACGACTCAAACATACAGACAGATAAAACTTGCTCCTATGAAAAAAAACTTAAAGCAATTTTCTCAAAATATGTCCCGTGTACTAACATCTCGTCTAGTTAAAGTTTAATTATATTAATATATTTTCCATTGTTTTATATGTTAAATTGATGGGAAATTGTTACTTTAATTCTCATGGCTTATTGTAGGTGGCGCACGAGTTGAGGAAACTGTCAGAAGTGATGCTGGAAAGGATCGTGCGATCGCCACAGAATCCAGACTACAGGTAAAATAAAGCTCTATATATATATATATATATATATATATATATATATATATATATATTATCGAATATAAATTACGTACAATAAAGATTTTACAATACAATACAATCTTTTGCGAGGTAGGCAGGGAGAGCCAAGTGGAATGGTTGTTAATTTTGAAGCAGGAATGTAGTGAAATTATTTTAGAAGTCCGTGATCTGTATATAATTTGTTAATTAAAAAAAAAAACAAGAGTAGTTTAACTACCACGACTGCTAATTTAGTAACGATTAGATTTTTTTTATTTGATATAACTACATCATTTTACGATTAATCTACCGAAGGAAGACTTATAGGATTCACAGTTTATTCTGTGATTGGAGACAGTTATCACTTTCCATCAGGTGAACTGAAAGCTTGTTTGCCATCCTCCTGTAAAAAAAGTAATTTCCAAATGTTTATTTTCGTGTCCAGAGACTGGTGTTTAGAAGCCCACAAAATAATGAAGAAGGCCGTACAACTAATGGAGCTGAACTACGGCTCCTGGGAGCCCCTGGTGAAGAGACTGAAGGAACAAGAGAGCCTGACGGCCGCCCTGTTGGCTGACATCAGAACGCCAGACGCTGCACAGGGAGTACACCACGACCTGCATTATAATCTCAAAATATAGTTGTACAATAAACAATCACTTGTATGAAACTCTTCTGGTAAAAAAAAATACTGGCATATAAACTCAGATAAAGACACTCTATCTATGTACATTTATATTGCAGAGCCGCGTCTGAAATTTGAATATGGAATTAAAGATTCGCGCCAATACATTCACAATTAAAAAGTGAGACGGTGTGTTCCATTTTCGAATAAAATATTTGGAACACACCACCTTATGAAATCACTGCCAATTTTTACTCCATGCATTATAATAATTATATTAATCAATTCAATAATTCAATTAAATGTATAAAATACACAACATATTGCAATAATGTTCGTAATCGAGAAATCGGCCATCTTTATGTTTGATATTTGTCAAACGTATACGTGAAATAATGATATAAACACTTTTCTAAATTGTCACTGTAAATATTAAGGGAACGCCTTTGGGATAGTTAAGAAAGCCGTCTAGGCACACGTAGGACTGTCGTCAAAGCAATCTGTAGGTAATGAAGTTTCATTCTATTATTTCACGTGAACGCGCATCGCTACGAGTATTTCTTAATAAAGTGATCACACCACGGTCAATTTTGATATTATTACATACTTGCAAAATATTTTTTATATCAGCTTGTATAGAATACGCTTCGTATGCTAATGAAATGCAACGTCTGTGACGTCACATCGTGCATTGCATTGTGCAAGCTACTTGCATTAAGAGGGCTTATCACCATAAGACTGGCAAATTCTTTATTTGTCATTATTTGCACAATTTTCATATATATATATATATATATATATATATATATATATATATATATATATATATATATATATATATATATATATATATATATATATTTTTTTTTTAATATAAACTATTACAATATTTATTCCAGACACGAATGTAAACGATTCCAATGTGTGCTTTTACACCGCGACACTGTATCGTATGATTATATCGTCACGATATTATAGAACAATAAAAAAAATTACATTGTTGTAGTACAATTCAATCGTTCATAAACTGCAATAAATAAAAATATACGAATACTCATTCAAATTTCCATGCGAAATTCTCGCGGAAAATTAATAGTGGCTCCATACAGTATACAATGTCCTCCCTATTGTATCGTGACGATAAAATCGTATAAAATTGTACCGCGGTACAATACTGTACGATAAATTATAAAAGTATGTCGTGACATCAATAATAATCATTAATAAAATATACAATGAATTTATTATTCAGCATTTTGTGTATTTGACATTTGTGTTTTTTTTATTTATTTATTTATTTATATAATGATTAAACTGGTAAATTAGTAAGGCCTATAGTAAATAGTAGACTTAAATACATACTTTTAAAATTTTTTAGTAATTTTTTTATAAGTTTTATTAAATTTTACATTATGATTATATTATATTAAATTATACACTTTATAAATTAATTATTATAATTATATATTGTACATTATAGAGTCTGTTTATGTTTATTTTTAATAAATTTTTTAAATGTTCACATAAAAAAAAGGATTAACATAAAAACATTCGAATATTATGAATTTTAAATAATTCCCCTTTACTCCAGTATCGTGCCTACTGTTGTTACCGTTAGTTATGTAAATTTGTACGCAATTCAATATGGACTTATTACAATAAACTATAGTTACTAACATAATTAGTAAATATTATTTGCCTGTGACTTTCAAACTAATAGTGAGATTAAATTTTAAAGTGTTTTGTAATGTAGGTAACATTGTCTGTAGGTAGTAGAGTAAGAATTGTCAATCTTTATATATATAAAAGTGGGTATACCCTATGGTGATGGTAATTGCTCATCACTAAGGAATATTATACTCTCTATCCATAAGTTATCACACTTTTTTTGTAGGGATTTTTGTGATGTTCACTTTGTTGTAACTCGCCACTAGATGGCGCTGCAACGTATCTAACTGTTCATCCATTTTTATATATAAATAGAGAAAGATAAACAAATATAGTAAGTTTCTGCTAGTAATAGTTATAAATTTGTAATGAATAAATATGATATAAAAACGTGCAAGACAAAATACTAGTAAAACCTTTTTCCCTTATTTGGTACAATTAGTGATTAATCTTTTCAAAGTTAGTCAATTGAAAATAAGACTCCATAATAATGATAATTTACAATAATAATTAATAAATACTTTTATAATTTGATTTGTTTCGTTGATAAAAAGATACGTTTAGGTTATTCGCTAAATGTATCAAATAGGAAATGGGGAATTTACTAGAATTCTGGTACAGGTTTACAACAACGCGGTACTTCGTGGACGTCACAGTTTTCTGTGCTGTCCACGGTACTTCTGAACAGTTGTTGCAAACGGTACTATTCATGTCTATAAGGTGGGCCGTCAGTTTGCAATTATACAAAAAATCGAAATTAAACCTTACATATCACAGTGGCATAGATAAACTAATTAAATAACATGTCGTTGCAAAACACGTGTCATTGAATTAATTTAAAAAGGAGTCTCGAATTTTATTATGATCAATGCCCCATTATGGTTCGCGCAGACCGACGACGTCCCTATTGTCCACAGACAAAATTCTTTTTTTATTTGTCTCACATTTACAATTTTTTAATTAAAACCACAATTCACGCTATCAATTTCAATCTTGATTTAATTAAACTCACACAATAGCATGCAATAACACGTGTTATTGCATGCATATTTTACACTTTATTTTACAATGAGAATCCGCGTACAAAATGTATACCGTCCGTACAGCCCTTTAACGTCTCGCCGGGACGACACGAGATTATCGCGATGTTTGTGCTTACATAATTAAAACTGACGACTCACCTGCACCATTTAAATGAATCTGTTAGAGGTGGTAGCACGTTACGATAATTGTAACGTCTGTCGCTACCTTCATAACCGTAGCTGTAACGGCCAGTGTTCCTCGATACAATGATTACGAACAACGTATCTATTAGATAAACACAAATTTAAAATAAAATTACACTTAGTTATTTGTAGACATTTACTAGTGCCGTCTTTATTAACAATAAACGTGGTTGAAAGGGATGAAGGGAGTGGGGTTGTGATGAGAGATAATTGTACGGTATGGAGGCGCCTTTATAAAATCTTCACTGTCTATTTCAAAGTAATTTCTACTATAGAATAGTAAGATAGTAACAACTAGGTCCTGTTATAGAGCCATCACCATAACAAAAATTTTAATTTATTAACAATATGTTATCACTAATCCGATATTTTTTATTTAAATAACAATAATTATACGCCAATGTAATACAACCATCTGTATATTTTATTGTTAAACTCTATTATGTATTGAATCTACTGATGTGTGAATAATGTGAGTTTTTAGTTAACCAATTTAGCGTAATTGTTTTATAAAATTATAGATTTTATAAGCTATAATGGTGTTTTATTTGTTATACTTACTTTCATTAAGTTTCTTTTTATTTTCCAATGGTATAAAGTCCTACATAGTATAGTTTAGTTTGATAACAAAACTCATATAAGATTACGAAGGTTATATTGGACTTCTTTCCAAAAAAAATTTTGAATACTTTCTTTGTCTCCCCTTTTTAACGGTCAAGGCAGGGGATTGTAAATGATAAATTAATACAATAACAAAATAATGATAGTATTTTGCAGCCACCCAATGAATTTAGTCATTTTTATTGGCCCTAGGTCCTATTTTGTTTGGACAGTCCCACCCAATAGTTTATTTTGCAGGTCTCTTGATGGTATCCCCAAAACAGTCTTTTAAAAAAACGTCTACGCTCACTTTTACACTTTATGCGAGCAGTAAGTACTATATATTATTCTCAATTTTGTGTATAATATAGTATATATCATATATGTATAAATATATTTGTTATTCATATATATTTATTCGTTTATATATGTAATTTTAGTATGTATGTATATCAATAATTAGTAGTACCGCATTCGAGTATTCTGACACTACCCAATGGTTGACTGAGAGAGAATGCTTTTAACATTAAGTCCGCCATGTATACATATACGTACTAATGAATAAATAAATAAAATAAATAATACTGTAGAATAACAGAATAACTTAAATTGAGGACACTCTCAAATGCAGTATACCTATTTTCTTTTGGTATGTGTCGTTTCGCAATTCGAGTGCATACATCACATAAAATTGGTTTTTTGCAAGTACGCATATAAAACTGTGGTAAATTAGAACAACCGTTACTATGCGCTTTAGGTATGACTCGTATGACGTTAACAATTTATTGCAAATCGTCAATTCCACTGTTGATCACTTTGTGACAGTAGTTTCCACAGGTAAATAAAAAAACCGCATCTAATTTGATGCAGTAGTTACCACAGGGAGACTTTGTACAAAAGTCGATTGCTTGGGCATCTCTGTCCCATTCGTGTTTCTACCGTGAAGCAGTTGTGTTTGCATGACTGTGTTTCGGTTTGAAGGGTGGGATGTGGCGTAAATTTACAGGGTACAGAGCAATAACACCTGAGTCCTCAGGAATGGCAACGCATGAGGGGTATCATGGGCGAAACAGTATACTCGTGTTATGTCCATTGTACTGCTCATGTCTATAGGCGACGGTTACCATTTTCCATCAGATGGGTCGTCAGCTTGTTTGCTATTCTAAGTTGTATAAAAAAAAAATAACAAACATGCAAGACAATTCTAATTTTTAAAAATGATATTTTGGCATCAATTCAAATAAAATCTAGTTACAATTCTATTAAAATTATAAATGCGAGAGTTTGTAAGGACGCATAGATATTTGTTACTCTTTCATACGAAAACTACTGAACGGGTTTGAATGAAATTTGACACACGGGTAGGTTAGATCCTAATTTAGCACAAAGGATCAGTATATAAGTTACTATATACTATATAATTTAATATATAAGCTATTATATTCAAGTGGGCAACGCTGTGAGGTGGGGGGGAAAGGGATTGTTAGTAATGGAGACTGAGAATCCCATGCTAGCAATATACCCAACCAGGTCGACCTCCTCGCGGTTCCCCCTGGAAACTATCATGGTTAATTCCTGATGAATTCATCATGATGGGCTAACTGGCCTGTTTTCATTCTCATCTATCACCCTTCACTGGTGCTCCGCTAGCGTATCCCGTTAGCGCAGGCGGGATTAGCATACCATTTTCACCCATCAAAAAACAAATAGATGACGATGCACCATATAGGCAATAAAAGATATGTGTCATGTTCATTTCTTTTAATTTATTCAAGGTTACGCGAATCTTCCCTTACAACTTCATAACTATTCTATTTTATACACTAGACAACTATACAACAATGTCAATTAAAATTTGTTTTTACATAATTTTAAACTGCTACAGTTAAAATATCTTAATTAACAAAGTAAAAAGCAATTCTTGCCTTTCGTACGTAATACAATATCAATGAAACAAAACATTTCCATAGCAGATCATAAATAAATACATATTATTTGCCCAGAGACTTCCCAACCAGCGTGATCAGGAGGATCAAAATTTTATGTACTATTTCAAGCTTTCATGAAAAAAGTGTTCCGTTTCATTGATAAAAGATGTTAATAATTTATAATTAATCTGTAAACCATGCTAATATGGTATTTTTTATTTATTAACTGTATTCTTAAAAAGTGTCAATAATTTACAATTAATCTGTAAATCATGCTAATACGGTATTTTTATTTATCTGTATTCTTAAAAGGTGTCAATAATTTACAATTAATCTGTAAACCATGCTAATATGGTATTTTTATTTATTATCTGTATTCTTAAAAAGTGTCAATAATTTACAATTAAACTGTAAACCATGCTAATACGGTATTTTTATTTAATATTTGTATTCTTAAAAGGTGTCAATAATTTACAATTAATCTGTAAACCATGCTAATATGGTATTTTTATTTATTATCTGTATTCTTAAAAAGTGTCAATAATTTACAATTAAACTGTAAACCATGCTAATACGGTATTTTTATTTAATATTTGTATTCTTAAAAGGTGTCAATAATTTACAATTAATCTGTAAACCATGCTAATATGGTATTTTTATTTGTTAATCTGTATTTTGAAAAACTGACAATAATTTAAAGTTAATCTGTAAACTTTACTAATATGGTATTTTTATTTATTAACTGCATTCTCAAAAGTCGTTAATAATTTAGAATATGGTACTCTTTACATGGTATTTTTCTTTATCTGTAAAGTGCCTAGTAGTATTAAAACACCTCTCGGTGATCGGTATAAAGTTTAACTTTAGATATAAGTAAATGAAATCCCAAAATTATATCAAACACAAGATTCACAGTATTATAAATAGTTATTAAAAAAAAAATATTATAGAATTCGGATTCCAAGATCGATCGATTTATATGAAAGTGTAGCATGCACGAAAGGCAAGAAGTACGACACCGCCCCTCCAAAATATGCGATCGAATCGCAGTAATTTTGTTGTTGCGATGTCGCGTTACAACGCATCTTTTTATGTGTCAGCACTGTTGCGTCATATTTATAGGATCACATGAATGGATCGTCATCAAATACGAAAATTGTTCATCTTTTTCTACCTTCAATTCATTCTGTGGCTTTATATTTTTAAATATTGATTACTCGATCATAGATGTATAGATATGTAACTTCAAGATCATACATATGACCCTATGCTCTACGTGACCAACTCGTGTGTACCTTCACTTCCATCTACGTAAACCCATCGTACGATTGTCACACGGTGCGCAAACAAAATAAAAACTTAAAATAAGTCTGCCACCAATGACTCTTATCACTAAACACATAAAATATTAGCGTGTATTCCAATATAGAATCATTCATTTTTTTTTAATAAAAACGATTATATATTGGAATGCAGGAACATTTTAAATATGTACATTACTTTTGTAGTACATCGTGTTATATATAAGTCTATTGAGAAAAATAACCAATTCCTATATTGTAAATCACCAATATACATTTCTAATTCATTGTACCTAGAAATTGTGCAAATTTACAATCAACATAACACATAGGTACTTTTGAGGAATTGGTAACGAACTCAAAAGCGAGCGAAACAACTCGAGCAAGCATTCTGTAGCAAGTGACTTGCGCAGTATATTAATATTACATACAAAAACATCTATTGCGCAAGACTCGTTGTCCGCAGTGTCGTTCCAGTTGTTTGCTTACAAACTATATAAAGAAAAAAAAAAAAAAACTTATACAACGTAAAACTATAAACGAGATACTAAACTAAAAATTAAGGTTGCAGTTATCAGATATTTATTTACAGTTATGAATTGTTAACGTGATCCGAAAAACATTGACGTACAAACTAGATATTCAATCACCGAGACAAAAACACAAAATGTGTACAACAATTAGAGTGTAATACAATTTTTATATACATATTTAATAATTTATTACAAGTCACCATAAGATGGATTGTGTGTCCATATATACATTACGCAACACTGTCAACGAGAAGTAGTAACATTATAAAGGTAATAAATTATTAAGTATAAAGTCCGATATACACAGATCGCCTATAGACCAAGTTAAGTTCTGCCTCGGACAGTTTTCGTGAGCGATTGACTATCTAGTTATTTTTATCATAACATCAATGGACTAATACGATATTTTACACACATAGTAGCAATATTGTGCGCGAGGTATCGTTCCTCGTACACATAGCACGCTTGGCAGCGGTCTTATATATCATATTAACATTACATGTTTCTTTTATACATATATAGATAGAAAAGAAAGAAGATAGAGAGAAAAGATATACATATTATAAATGAAAGTTACACAGATATTTTCAAAACACTTTGTTAATAACTCTATATTTAAAACCTATCTCTAAATTTAATATATATATATATATATATATATATATATATATATATATATATATATATATATATATATTCAAGAATAGAAGTAAAAAATATTACAATTATTGATGGTTCACAAAACAGTGATATCGCGAAACTATGAAATTAAAATATTAGATTAAGAGATAGGTTTAGAGTAATGACGCGTCAGAATCATCGCCATCGTTACAATCATTTAAATTGCATTTCTCTTATATGGAGATCGTGAGAAATACGATTAACACTTCTGTAAAATACAAACGGTCAAGCCTAGGGGGCTATTGCGCCTACTACTTTATAGAAAACTAGGAAATATGTTTAATATACCAACTCGTTCATATCACATTAATATATACAGACAAAAGTTTCAAATATTACTAAAAGTGCTTGACTAAAAACTAGTTCAGTTTATAAATAATCCGTTTACGAGCGTACATATATAGTTTTGAAATAACACGTGTACCTCAAAACGGTCATATCTCAGAGTATCAAAGTATTAAAAGGTCTATATCTCAAAATATTCAAAGATGGTTTACATGTAAAAAGGTGTTAAAATAATATTAAATATTTAGTAAATAATACTAAAACCTACATATTCTAATATACTAATATATTTTGTATAAGCGTATAGTTATTGATAGTGATGTATATGTGGTATATTTATATTTATACTTAATAATTAATCAAATAATAATATTAGGTGTTAAAAATTATACCGTCCAAAAATATGTAGTCGCGTGTTGTTAATTTACAATTAATCTGTAAACCATGCTAATACGGTATTTTCATTTATTATTTGCATTCTCAAAAGATGTTAATAATTTACAATTAATCTGTAAACCATGCTAATACGGTATTTTCATTTATTATTTGCATTCTCAAAAGATGTTAATAATTTACAATTAATCTGTAAACCATGCTAATACGGTATTTTCATTTATTATTTGCATTCTCAAAAGATGTTAATAATTTACAATTAATCTGTAAACCATGCTAATACGGTATTTTCATTTATTATTTACATTCTCTAAAGATGTTAATAATTTACAATTAATCTGTAAACCATGCTAATACGGTATTTTTATTTATTATATGTATTCTTAAAAGGGATCAATAATTTATAATTAATCTGTAAACCTTACATGTATTTTTTTAATATTAAAAAAATACATTAATTACAGAATTACGGTTCAATAATGGAATAATCTTCAAAAAGAAAAAACTTTGAGGAAAAATTAATTAAACTAAAAAAAATCGATATTTTGAAGATTTTATTTAAATGCGCGGAATCAAGCGCTTATAAATATCCAATTCGTGTAAATTTCATTCTTAGGAACCCTAGAGAAGAGTCCCTCAAAGTTACACTAAAATCTAAAATGGGTCAGCTTTGCCGATTAGACGATTTCAAATGGAATGACTCAATACAGACAGCTTTTTGCTTATTTTTTTTTAGTTTGGTATGGGTTCCTAGACATATAGGGATTAAAGACAAGGAAAACGCCAATTTTTGTCGAAGAGTTGCCGAGAAGATCAAAATAAAAAAAATATAAGTGCTAAACCATACGTTGCAGATGCATCCAATGTCGTTAACTATGCCTTTGAGAAATATGCGAAACTAAAACTGCAGAAGGAATGTAGCAAATTGGGAGATCTCAGGCGTTTAAAAAGTTCTTAAATGACAAGGCCTTATCCAGAGCCAGGGGACTATAGATATCTTATACCGTGGGATATCGTGGAGGTAACACATAGGGGATTTATAAAGTTATAGTAAAAGGCTGGGAAAAGCACAAAAGATCCCAATGATTGCTGACCCCGTACGCAAATATAAGACATTGCGAATTGTTGATTTAAGTACCTACTAGTATAAAACAGTAGTATGTAGTATCGTTCTAGGTGGTAGGTAACACAATAAATAATTTCACTAAATTAATAAATAGAAACGTAATCTAACTTAAACTAGTCAAATATATAAAAAAAATTGTGTATTAAAAAATATACCGTATAAAAAAAAGTGTATTTTATAAGACAGGCACATTCTAAAACATTTAGATATCGAGATATAGACCTTTTGTTATTTTGACGTTTAGAAATAAGAACGTTTCGAGTCCCGTGTGTTACGTGATCTGCGACTTTGTGTATCCGACATCAATCTACTGTAAGAACTCGGCTTGCGACCCCATGGACGCCATGTACATCAACAAACAATTAGTCTGTGTAGTTTAAGCGTAAACCGATGGGTAAAGGCATTTAATACAAGGGGGCATTGAGCTTTCTAACATTGCATAATTAAAGATTGTGTCCCAAAAAAAAAAAGAAACCTACTTCAATTGCGACAAAATCAGTTGTTTTAATTTAAAAACTAAATCACTGTACTAACTTTGATAAAACTCTACGGGGCCATTGTGTAAAACTGAGGTATAAGGTAACAAGCATAATATAAAAAAAAATACAACCCAATTAAGTATTCCCTAATAATAAATAAATAAATATATAAATAAAAAGCCTTCATTGTTAAAGTCGGTTGAATGTTATTTATAGCATTTCAACAAAATATTTTTTAAAATGAAATGGGAATATGTCAAAGGATTTTATTTAATAATAAATTACACTTTATTAAGTTTTGTTAATATTTGTAATATGAGATTATAAAGTCCAATGCAAATGTATGTAATCTTATTACATTTAAATGGAAATTAAAGCGTAGTAAATTAAATGATAGGGCAAAATTTTAAAAATATTTCCCATCTTTAAAATGTTATTAAATAGTTTAAAAGAGTTTAGTATGGTAAATATTAAAAAAAAAAGCTTGCTATATTTTTTTATTTAAAAAGTACTTCGAATGTTTTTTAGTAACATATTATATACAGATAATCTTATTTATAATAAAACATGTAGTTCTAACATAATTATGTAGTTAGGAAAGGCCGCTATATGTTCTTCATATATATACACACACACATTTACATATATAAAACATATGTACCTATAGCAGGTAGACCACATATATATTTAAAATAACGTCCTATGTAAACAGTTAGAAATTAACAAAACTTGATGTGAAATACACTTTAGAATAAAGTCCATTATTATTGGATACATTTAAAAAGTTAAAATTATTGGCAGAAACCAACTTAAAATTTATCTCACTGAATTGTCTATGGCCTCGTGTTTAGCGCATGGACAATTAATTAACATGTTTATTACAGTACAAGAGAGATGTACAAATCAATTGAAATGTATAACTCACAAAAAACTATTTACTAGTTGCTCAGTAAACCATTTTATAGGCAGTTAATTCATTCCAATTCCACATGTTTAAAAAAAATCATAAATTAAGAGATAAAGGGAAATTTAGACAGACAGAATTGAATTCTGTCTGATTATTCTTCAGTCTAGATCTAGATTTTAAAGGTAATATTTTTTTTTAGATATTCACTGAGATCTGTCTTATTAGATGTTGACTAAATAGTGGTACAATGGAGTTTCATATTAGAAATAATATTATGGTATCATAAAATCATCAAGTTGGCTAATCATCGAAACAGTTAAGTAAATTTTCATTATATATATACATATATATTTTTTCAAAGTATTCTGTACATTTCGATCAACGTTTTGCTATACTAATCCTAACACTATACTAAATAGAACATAAAACAAATGATTCACTGCAAATAAATGAAGCTGCAGTGAACGTGAAAAGCAAGGCTACGTATATTATCTTGTTGTGTGATGTAATTTATTATGCAGTTTAATATTAACAGTACTCGCCGCACTCAAGTCCTAGCCTACGTTTCATTAAAACAAATATAACATCAACAAACTCTGTACAAATGGTGCTGTACGCATAGCCATGTCTAATGATTATTAATATTAAAGTATTTTACAATATCTAAGATAGAAGCTACGCGATTGCTGAGCCCGCTTTCTCTGTGAAGAACCCGTGCGCAATTTCGAGATTTAGCTATAACTTTTTATTATTTTATAAAGAAAAACAATTTTTTTTTTTTTATAAAACATTGCTTTGTGGTTTTCCATTATCACTTTGTGTAAGACATTTGCGTATATATGTATATCTATATAATACAAGGTGAAAACGATATCATTACCATATTTTTAAGGAAAATAAACTATACAGATTTTATACGGAAATACGCTAATTTAACTGTTAAAACGCGCTCACGCGGACGCTGTACATGTACTTCTAAACATAGTATAGACGCTCAAGATTTTTTATTATTTTTACACCTGTTACCCTTGTTACGTTGAAAAATACGTTAAATTTGTCTGACCCGAGTAATTTCCTTGAAACTATGCTAACGATATTGATTTCACCCTGTAGTGTTAAGCTAACATTATTTTTTAAAATTTCAAATTGGGCAAGTTAGCCTATATAAATATATACATATGTATATATATATATATATATATATATATATATATATATATATATATATATATATATACTAAATATAAAAATATATATATCTTCACGCCACATACCTTACGAGTTCTATCAATATTATTATGCTAGGTGTAAAAAAAATATATATATTTTAACATAAAATGCTGGTAACCCAATTGATTTTTCAGCGTAGGCGTCCTGTATCGCCGATAAAACAATGTTAAAAACCGGTATTTAGTGCTTTGGCTACTTTGAAACATCTCAAATACGCTCACCGACCGACAACATTTAAAATACAAATAAATACAATGAAAAACCACAACAATGGATGGTCCAAGTTGAGGTTTTTAATAAATTCAAGAGTTTAATATTAATCTAAGTAATAAATAATGTTAGTGTTTAAATAGTTTTTATTATTGCCATGTTGTGTTAATATGTGATGTTTTGTAAGCGTAACATGAGTATAAACATGGTGAACACACCCCATTAATCGTTTTATTAATAGAACCACGTTTCAATCGTTTACATCGTAGATTCTCAACAATCCACTGGAACACAGGGCGCTTTAGAAGAAAAAATATCCACAACGCGGTTGCAAATTATACATATATTTGATAACGCCCACATAGATCTCTAGATCCGTCACAGAAGAACAAATGGAACAAAAATATACAATATACAGTAATATAAGAAGGGACTAGCGCCACCTGGTGGGTCAACAGTCACATTGAGAGCCTACGATCGCACAGATTCCCGTTTCGATCTGGAAATATTTGTTTTAACATTTAATTTAACAATATAATACTCATTCTTACCCGCACAGTCTATGCTTATTAATTAAATCCACTCATAATGCACTTTCTTTGTTTCATACTTATTTATTTACCTTTGTACACAGTTACAAAAAGTAACAGGTATAAATAAAGTGTCTATGGTTATCACTATTTAGGTAGTTCTCAGGCTTTACGTTTCTTACGCAGTCTACCAAATCATACATTTTCAATGTACCATTTTATGCTTGCTTAAGTTTAAGATATTGATTAAAAAAACCATGTGATTTGGTAGACTTAACCTAATGCTAGATATATCCCCTATGCTTACTTCACGTCGCGACCCGCGGGCTCATCCTGCAATCACGTGCCGGTGTGGGCATCACCTGCCACCGCCTCCTGCTCGATGCCACCTGGCTCAGCTTACACTAGATGTAGCACCACCTTTTCATTGTATTGCTCTTCCTCTTCTTCCTCCTCCTGTAATAATAAATAAATTTATTTCTTTATACAAAGGTAGTTAGTTACATTACAGGGTTTGGTATCTCCTGTTAAGCAAAAATTGCTTGTGTTAGGAGAAACCGCTCCTTCACAACAATAATTAAATTTCATAATCATTACAATTTACTTTTCTTTTTTTCTTAATCAGCATTAAAAATTTTACTTTGTTTTACTTTTATACAATAATACTAAAAAAATTACATATCATAAAAAAAGAACAAATGTCTATTTATGATAATCTTGTTTGCCTCCTCCTGTAACATAAATGGTTCTGTTATCATGTTTGCATGTTTATTTTTTGTAAAATCAACTTTGAAGAAAAAAAAAACGACTGAGTTTCTGCCCCGTTCATTTCAGCTGATATTCTATTCAGAACACTGAAATTCTATTGAAGAATCATACAAAAAATAAGTGAAGCTGATAAATATATACTAAAATAATAAAAATTGTCGATAAATTAAAAAAAATATATTTAGTGGTGGGTCACCCCTATCATTGAGGGGTATGAAAAATAGATGTTGGCCGATTCTCAGACCTACCCAATATGCACACAAAATTTCATAAAAATCGGTAAAGCCGTTTCGGAGGAGTTTGGTAACAAACACCGCGACACGAGAATTTTATATATAAGATATATATATATATATATATATATATACACTTGGGAGTACTCACATCAAAGCCGAAGCATGTATCTACGTCCTTTTCCAACTTGATACTCCTGTCCACATCAGTATCCCGCTTACTCTTCTCTTGCTTGATGACCTTCACCGGTAGCTCCTCCTCCTCTTCCTCTTCATCAGCTACTGGACAAAAGTATTTATTAAACAATTTGGCATAGTAGACAAGCTGATAGGCTACCTGCTGGGAAGTGGCTACCGTCGCCTATAGACATGAGCAGGACCGAGGACGTCAAAAATAATATAAACGGAACGGAGACTGTAATAACGATGCCTGCGAACAATACTGCTGGCACTTATAAAACAAATTAATATAATTTAATTTATTATATTAATTTAATAATTATATTAATTATATACACTAATGTAAAAAATTAAGGGATCACAAAAAAAAAATCAATTTTTTAGGTGATTTTCAATAGGCTGTAAACTTGGAGAAAAATCATCATAGAGACATTTAAACAAAAAAATAGCAAAATGCTGGTCTAAGTGTCTAATTTTTTGGATCTATACTCAAAAAGTTTTCATTTCAATTTTTGTTCAGGTAATTTTGAAAAAAAAAACCACTGACAAAAATAGGTTAAAAATTTTTTTTTGTTTTTTTTTTTACGTCTACAGTCTTTAACAATTTTTTTTTACATAATCACCATATGGGCCAGATAACTTGTTATTCATTATACAATCTCGTACTCTTTCTTCCTCTCACTCCTTCTGATTTTATATACATAATTAAAATCAAGCCCACATCAACATATATGTATTATATGCATGTAATCTGGTGGTCTACCATGAAATGAAATTCCGAAATTTCGAGCTCAATTTCGTGTTTTTGTTTGTATCAAAATCGACCCATTAAATGGAGCTTAACATTTCGTTCATCATAAATCCTATTCTAATAGTCCAGAGGAACGATATTTTAACATTTTTAATAATTTTAAACAGCATGTATTATATAATTTTAACATCAAATTTCTGTTTCGTTCGCCCCGAAATTTCGGAAAATACCCGAAGTATTTTGTAGTCAATGTTGTGTACGCCTGCTATAGGTATGCATATCCGCATGCTACACAAAAAATGAAAATCAATATTATGTATATAATATGTATACTGTTGGTGTGCCCAGTTCAAAATAAATAAATAAATAGTTGCAATAAATTTCTATTAGCCACAATGTATGTATATTTTTTCTGTCTCCACTTAGATCAATCATGGTTTACAGTATCTGTATGTGGACCACATTATCTGTTTTATTTTTCTTTAACAATTATTAGATACATACAAATTGGTATTTTTTCTCTCTATTAAACTAAGTATCAAAACAAAAAAAAATATTTACTGAGATTACGTATTTTTCTAAAATTTAGCTTAAACCGAGAAGAAACCATAACTGGAATTGCAATGTGAATCTTATTTGATTGCCAATAAGCATCGATATGCAACTTAAAGAAATGAGATACCGATGTCATAAATATGAGCTGACATGTTACCTCACAGCGTCTTAATGGCTTACCCAATGTCTATGACATTTGGTATATACATATTATTTGAGTCAGATAAGGACATGATATATAGATAGATAGATAATTTATTTGCATTACTTACAGCACACAAATTACAACATATATATATATACAACATACATAAAAAGCGAGGTAACGTAAATGATAAAAAAAAAATACATAAAGCTAAATTAAATTTTTCATTTGTGCGTGTGTCTTAACAATACAAAATGGTCACAACTCAGTTTATTGCTTCGCCCACAAATGAGCAAAGCACTGATATTCTGTTGCGGCCAAAGGGAATAGGGTTATAATAAAACAATACTACCAGATTATCCATACAGTAAATAGATAGATTTACAGTAAAACAGACAGATATGACAGTCTATCTAGCAGACAAATGGAACATAGAGGTAACTTGCTGGAACGTCTAACATTTGCCTCTCAATTAAGAATTTTTAAAAATCAATTTTGAAACTGGACTTAGTGGCGATCAGTCTTATGGGAGGCGGTATATTGTTCCAACATTTTGTGGCTTGATATCGGAAGCTACCATTAAAAGCTGCTGTTTTATGGGGATGACAAGCTAGAAGAAAACGTGACTCTCTGTACTGTGATTATGTAATCTGGTGAATTGAAGTTTAGAAAAGAGATGCATGACAAGACATGAGCTACCTTTTTACCTCGGTCAGGTGGACAAAGTCATGGGTGAAAGCTTTTTTTTTATACTACCTAGAATGGCAAACAAGCTGACAGTCCACCTGATGGAAAGTGGTAACCGTCGCCTATAGACATGGGCAGTGTCATGGACATAACAGAGTATACTGTTTCGCCCATGATACCCCCCATGCGTTGCCATTCCATACACACCTGAGTAGGTGTTATTCCTCTGTACCCAGTAAATCCCCCCATATCCCACCCTTCAAACCGAAACACAGCCATGCAAACACAACTGCTTCACGGTTGAAACACGAATGGAACAGAGGTACCCAAGCAAACGACTTTTGTACAAAGTCTCCCTCTGGTAAGTATAAAAAAAAAAACCTTTTGTAAGCAACTTACCATGCTCCTCGTCGATGAAGTCTGGCGCGACCACTGCCACTTGCTGCTCGGTTCCATCCTCGAGCTGTATCACTTCGAGCACCACATACTGCTGACCATCGCCGTGGGTCACTGTCACCACCTCGCCGCGCTCCAAGTCGTTCAGACCAAGCTTCACTATGTCCGTCTGTTCATTTTCCGACTCCACCTCAGCCGTTATCTCCTAGGGCAAATCAAAAGACACATTTGAGAAATGAGTCCATGCATTTGTTTTTTTTTTTTTATACCAAAAAAATAGCAAATAAGCATACAGCCCGTCAGATGGAAAACGGTTACTGCAGCCTATGGACGCCTGCAATACTAAGATTAACATGTATGCGTGGGGGGAAGGGAATGTTAGTAATGGGGAGGTTAATCCTCATTCATATCAATATACTCTATCGGGTCGACCTCCACGCGGTTCCTATTGGAAACTATCGTGACTAATTTGTCGTTGAATTCGTCACGATGGGCTAACTGACCTGCCTTTTTATCCTCACCAATCATCCCTCACTGGTGCTCTGCCAGTGATTACCGATAGCGCAGGCAGGGTTACCATTTTATTTACATCCATTACAATAAAACATAAGTTTTGCGCTGGTTTTACATGTATATTTCCAAATGAGTGTTAGAGTCTTAGTGCGAAAATATGAATACCATTTATATTGGGCATCGGTTTTGTGAGTTTTTTTAATGGGTGAAAATGGAATAGTAACCCTGCCCGCGCTATCAGTACACACCGATGGGGCACCAGTGGAAGTTGATAGGTGAGGATGAATGCAGGTCAGTTGGCCCACCATGTTGAATTCGACAAGAATTAATCATGATAGTTTCCAGGAGGAACCGCGTGGAGATCGACCTGAGAGGGTATATCACTAGCAATGGGACTATTAGACCTCATTACTATCAATCCCTTTCCCCCCTGGTCTTGTGAGTTTACAATGGAAAGGCCACCCTGCCCAGCGACGTTACAGTTCATGACTTACGAACTCTCGTAACTTTCAGCTTACCGAAACGTGGCAATGTCACAATTATCTGTCAATTTCCAAAAACATTTGAGCATTATCGCCAATGTTTTTGGCTGATTTTTATTTGTCTAATTGTCTGTTAACGAACTAAAATGTTAATATTGCTAATGCAGCGAGTATAAAAAGAAAAAAAAATAACAGAATACGCGTAATAAACTCACAATAAGTAAATAATATATAATAATAAAAAAAGTAATAGTGAGGAGTAAGATTTTTTTGTTCAAACTTAGATTTAAGCATTTTGTAATAGTAGTTTTTCTCTTTAAATTACTAATAATATTGTATATTATCTACTTAATTATTGTGAGCATATTGTTGGTGTGTCTTTTATAAATAAATAAATAAATAAATAAATAAACAATAAATTTGCACAGCAAGCAGTCGAGGCTAAATATATATTTTTGCTACATTTACAATCGCATATAGCATTTAATTTAAACCGTAAAAATAAAATTATTGACAATTTGAAATTTTTATCAGAGGAAGACTGTAAAAAAAAGTCGTTTGCTTAGGCACCTCTCTCTGTACCACTCGTGTTTCTACCGTGAAGCAGTTGTGTTTGCATGGCTGTGTTTCGGTTTGAAGGGTGGGATATGACAATGAAATTATAGGATACAGAGGAATAACACCTGAGTCCTCAGGAATGGCAACACATGGGGGGTATCATGGACGAAACAGTATACTCTGTTATGTCCATGGTACTGCTCATGTCTATAGGCGACGGTTACCACTTTCCATCAGGTGGACCGTCAGCTTACTTGCCATTCTTAGTTGCGTAAGCTTGTTTGCCATTCTAAGTTGCATAAGCTTGTTTGCCATTCTAAATTGCAAAAGCTTTTTCTTCATTCCACACCAGTTTACTTATAAATTACTAACCATTTCCCGCGAATTTGCCTACATGAATCAGTTAATAAATGTATGTCTCTCTATGTACCAAATATCATTGAAAACCGTTGAGTAGTTATTGCATAAAATAGTAACAAACATCCATTTATGCTTAAATCGTTTATGATATTACTTGGCAGCCAATAATAAATCGCAGCCAGCAGCCATTATAGTAACTTATGTGTGACAAAACAGTAAAAAAAAACAGACAAAACACCAAAAATTCCAAAGTAAGGAGGATAACACTTGTCCTTAGAAATATTAAAACAAGTGGAGCACCATAAATGTTATGGTTTACATTAAAATGAACAGGGTGTCGCTCTTGTCTATGGACGACGGCCACCACTTACTATCACATGGTCCGCCAGCTTGTTTACCACCTTAAAATGACACCCTAATCCACAGGAATATTGTCAGAGAGTATACTGTGATATTCACAGCCGTCTACAACTATCGGTGATGGTTTCCACTTTCAGATGGGTGGATAAGCAGTTTTTTTGCCATATAAAGTTTTTTTTTTATGAGTGAAAATGGTATGGTAACCACTGCGCTAACAGGATACGCTGGCGGAGCACCAGTGAAGGGTGATAGATGAGAATGAAAACAGCCCAGTTAGTCCATCATGATGGATTCATCAGGAATTAACCATGATAGTTTCCAGGGGGAACCGCGAGGAGGGCAACCTGGTTGGGTATATTGCTAGCAATAGGATTCTCAGTCTCCATTACTAACAATCCCTTTCCCCCCTGCCATATAAAGTTGTGTAGATATAGTTATGACCACAAGTATATTTTGCTCCACAAAAAAGAAACATAAGTGTGGTAAAATTTAATTAAGCATTTGATTTAAAATCCAAAATACTGAACTAATTTTGATAAAATTTCTATAACATCAGTATTAAAATTAAAAGTAACATTTTAACCGAAGTTAAAATTGGTTATTCGAAATCGGTTTTCATCCTCACCCATTATCCCTCACTGGTACCTCGCCAGCGTATACAGACAGCACAAGCGGGGTTACAACTCCACTATCACCCATCAATAATATATATATATATATATATATATATATATATAAACATGTAACAAAATGTGGCATGATGCTTTAAAGTAAACAATTATGGATATGGTGGCTTTAGTTGTTAGTTGTTAAGCATTTAATAATAGATGTAAGCTATATATATATATATATATATTTCTCTGTACTTATTGTTATACATGTATCAATATATGCTGTGTTTGCCTATAAAAAATTGTTACACTTAGTTCTAAGCTCCATAATTGTATATATATTTACATTATTTTGTGAAAACAATTGTTGGTAAAGCTAATTAAATAAATAAATTATTTCGCTTTGCAAATGAAAATCACACAAAGAAAATAACAGTTCAACAGTCATGAGAATAGTTTATAATATAGCAACTAAACTGTTCCGCAATAGCTTAATAGCAGAAATAAAACTCATTTTACATAACACGAGCAATATACAAAAAAATCATTTCGATACGCATATCTTATATGTAAAATTCTCGTGTCGCGATGTTTGTTACCAAACTCCTCCGAAACGGCTTTACCGATTTTTATGAAATTTTGTGTGCATATTGGGTAGGTCTGAAAATCGGTCGGCATCCATTTTTCATACTCTTCAATGATAAGGGTGACCCTCACAAAAAAAAATTTTTTTTTGACAAATTTTTCCATTTTTATTTTATTATGATTTAACATTGAAAAATGCATACAACCTCAAATTTTCACCGTTTTACGATTAACTCCTGTATTTTAATCGCGATTTTTATATTTCGCAATAAGTGGTAAAACAACGTTTACAGGGTCAGCTAGTATATATATATAAATAAATAGGCTAAATTCGCTCAGCAGAATAACTTAAAGTTCCTTTTAAACATTTTCTGGGTATTCATGCAATAGTAATTCCTTTACAATATTTGTTAATTAAATAATCAATCATGCCTAAACAATTTTCGATGAAATTTGGTACACAAACAGACCATTAAAATAGATTAATGTAGGACAATTAAATCGTGGAGTTTAGAGACACTCAAATATGTAATTACACAAATATTTTCTTGTTACAATCGCAATAAGCACGTAGCAATCATTATCGCATAGCAGTTATCGTTTACATAATGAAAACACACTTTAAATACATATAGGTAAAGATTAAAATCCATCAAGTTGGATTACTGTGGATGTTTGTCACTCGCGCACGCAGCACGCTTTATGCGACTATTATCAAATGCTACATTTTTTAATTGCATTATTTTAGAGCAAACAAGATGCAGATGAATATTTTGCAAACAAGAATCTTAACTAGAAACGGTGATCGGTGATCTGGTACTACAGGTTTTAACATATTTCAGACACCAGCTCCTCACAGCGGAGTTTCGTATTATTTTAATTATATTTCATCCTAAATACGTCGTGTGTAAATTTAAACTGTTTGTGAGGAGACATAAATAACATCCATTGTATAAGTAGGTAGGTATTATATTTATTTATAGTATACGAGGTCTGTCCGGAAAGTTCGTATAAAAGTGTTCTGGAATGCGAGAAAGAGGAGTGGGGAGGCCAGGTAAGCGCAGGACCCCTTCCTTATGTCCCTAACAATGCTTCAGTTCTGGTCTGACCGCCGTGCGGTGCGAACTGGCTTGTCACGCCATCTGTGAAGTTACCTCTTAACGAAACCCCGTCGGCATGGAGCCCGCTTCCGTTGAAGAGCAGCGCGTCGTAATCAAGTTTCTCTCGAAACTCGGCAAGAATGGCCGTGAAATTTTTGCCGATCTCAGAACAGTTTATGGGGATGATGCTGTGAAGGAACCAACCGTCCACAAGTGGCTAAAAAGATTCAGAGAGGGCCGAGAAAGCATCAAGAATTCGTCCCTCCAGGCCAGACAGTTGATGGAAAATTCTACGTCGATGTGCTCAGACGCCTCAAAGCTCGTGTGGCACGAGTTCGTCCAGAATTGGCGCGAGAGGGGCGTTGGATTCTTCACCACGACAATGCCCCTGCCCACACCTCTCTTGTTGTCCGTGAGTTTTTGAGTAAAAATTCCATTACGGTGACCGAACACCCCCCCCTATTCGCCGGATTTGGCCCCGTGTGACTTCTTCTTGTTCCCAAAAACCAAATTGGTACTTCGGGGGCGGCATTTGGGGGACATAAATGAGATAAAAAAAGCTACGACGGGGCAGCTGAGAAACCTACAACCAGAGGACTTTCAAGGAGCCTTCTCACAGTGGAAACGGCGTTGGCACAAGTGCATTATGTCACAGGGGGAGTACTTTGAAGGGGATAAAATTGATTTACCTGAATAATTGTAAAATAAAATTTTTAAAAAACTTTTATACGTACTTTCCGGACAAACCTCGTATGTATTTATGTAATATTTTATTATGTATCTTAATATTTTATTTAACTGTATTTTTGTTTGTGTACTCTAAATATTAATAGTTGTAGCACTTCAGCTGCCCGCTAACAACATGTTTTCTAACTGTATTGGTTTGACTGGAAGAGATCTCTGTCAGAGATAAGTCCACCCTTGCTCACAACATTTATAAATGCATTAATAATGTAATTTACAAGTGCAATAAAGAATATATATAAATATATGATTATATTATTATTATTATTAAAAACAAAATCTATTTACCTTGGCGGCCTGACCGTTGATGAACTTGACCTTCTTCTGGCGGCCGAGTTTCAGCGCCAGCGCCCTCTCCTGGTGGCCGGACTCCGGATCGTGGACGGCGAGATGCCTAATCAAGTTGCCCTTGTGCGCGAACGTCCTGTTGCACTCGTGGCACGTGTGGGTCTTCTCTTTGGGCGGTTTGGGCACGTAGTCAGGGTTGTGGTACAGGTTCTGGTGTCGCCGGAGCAGTTGCTTCTGTCTGTAACGTGACAAGTCGCCAATTAAATAACAGGGTGCTTTTTAATTGATGACAATGGAATGGCGAGTCCAACTGCCCAAAAAAAAAAAACATTTAAATAAAATACAATCAAATTGAAAATCTCAAAAGTAGCTTATGGCCTTCTCCCTCTAATCTACAATCATCATCATCTTCCTACACTTATCCCAACTACTATTTGTGGTTGACGTAATAGTGTTTTATCCATATTACTAAAGGATTCGACTTATAGTTTTACGACCGGCCGCTTACCTTTTGTACAAAGTCTACCTCTGGTAAAAAACACTAAGAGAGGTTACATCTCTGCGTATCTAAATGTATGCTAAGGAGACATACCTGAATGCTTGATCGCATTGGTCACAAATGAATGGCTTCTCGTCGATGTGTTTCAGCATGTGGGACTTTAGGTGTCGCAGCGTGGAGGACGCGTACGGGCAAATCTCGCACTTGTAGCATTTCTCGCCTTCGTGTGTCTGTCAATACATCACTACATATTCATACAAATCTTTAGCATGAGTTTTAAGTACTATTCTACTGGTGAAAGTTTACAGTTTCCCGAGAAAAATTGAAATAGAAAAATTACAAATTATTAAATAAAATTGTCATCGTTAATCAATTGTAATACAAGATTTTAAATTTTATTCTTATTTCAACCTTTGAACAAAAACTTTTTGATAGAAGGTTAATAACATAATTTAATTTTTTGCGTCTGTGGTCATTCAAAAATTATTTTTAATTATTTATTTTAATTTATACAATAAATTTATATATAATTATTATAGCTGTATATGTAATGGTCCATTGTCTTGGTCATACTGGTTTTTTTTTTAATGTGTGATAATGAAATGGTAACCCCGCTCGCGCTATCGGTATACGCTGGCGGGGCACCAGTGAGGGATGATAGGTGAGGATGAAAAAACTGGTTAGTTGACTCATCATGACGAATTCACAAAACACAAATTAGTCACGATGGTCTCCAGGGGGAGCTGTGTGAAGGTCGACCTGATAAGATCTATTGATAGCAATGGAGACTAACCGCCCCATTACTAACAATCATTTCCCCCCTTGTCATCCCGGGTAGATATTGCTCATATGTAAATGACTAGAAGTGTGTGCATGCGGATTACCTTATTATGTATCTTGCACGAGTAGCGATCGGGGAAGGACTTGCCGCATCGCTTGCACTTCAGCGGCTTATCGGACGTGTGCAGCTTCTGCACGTGGATACGCAGGTCCGTCTTGCGGCCGCACTTCGCCGGGCACAGCTCGCACGCGTACACTGGCTTCTCCGCCACTGGACAACCGTTACAATTGTTTTATTTCAAGTAATCACTTTTTAAAGACATATACTGAGAACACACATGAGCGAAATAAATCGCAACACACCTACACCTACACACACACACACACACACACACACACACATACAAGTGGATATTTTACAACATTGATTCCATAATTATATTTTTTTACTATAAATGTGACATTGCTGATTATTCTTTTTATATAATATAATTTTTTTCTTATGTAATTGTAAATTTGTATAGCTCGATAGATGGTGTTGATCATAGAGGACTTATATTGTTTTACCATCCATTGTTACCTATGTATCACAAAATAAATAAATAAATAAATTGGAGAAACAGTCAATGATGAAATGTAACAGTGAGGTCGATTCTGATGTATGATTCAGTCTCTAAACTTAGCTCTTAATATTTTTTCTATTTTTATTTAATAATTTCGGAACATGACTGTTTTATGAACCATCATTTTGACTTAAATCTAATAGAAATTTAATTCATACTGATCCTCAAAATTGGCCATGTGGTCACGACCTAGAATAGGCCACCCTTTCCTGTCCCATGGGTGTCGTAAGAGGCGAATAAGGCCGAGAAATGGGCAACAGCGTCCCTCTTAAAACATCTCTAAAGCCTGACTGCGGTTGCCAATCCGTCTGCCAAGCGTGGCAACTACTGTTAAAAACACCCAAGGGAAGGTGTAGAGTAAAGGCTGATATAACGATGATAATCCTTAGAACCAAGATTTTACTGTGATATCTGAATATTTTATTTACTTTAGAGATAGGTTTAGAACTTTCGAGTAATGACGTTTTAGAATCGACCCGCTGTGTAATAATTTAAAATTGGCGTAAATTTACAGGGTACAGAGGAATAACACCTGAGTCCTCAGGAATGGCAACGCATGGGGGGTTATCATGGGCGAAACAGTATACTCTGTTATGTCCATGCTACTGCTCATGTCTACAGGCGACGGTTACCACTTTCCATCAGGTGGGCCGTCAGCTTGTTTGCCATTCTAAGTTGCATAACAAAAAAAGTTAAAAAAATAAAAAAAAAAAATTTAAAAGGAATGGAGTGATTATAACAATATGAAATAATAAAATCACTTGTACAAACTATAATTGTACATAACGACTACTGTATATTAATGACCTAATTAATGATAATCAGGTCATTAATATACAAATAATGTACAACAAATAAATGTACAATAAATGCTACATCATCATTGCGTAATATAATAAATCACTCACCGTTGTGTATGAGTTTATGTGCTTTGAGCGAGTTGGACTGCGTAAAGCACATGTTGCAGTGGTCGCATTTGTACGGTTTCTCGCCCGTGTGAGTCCGCAGATGTCGCTTCAGTTTGAACGTGTCGGGCGAGGCGTAGGTACAGTGAGGACACTGGAACAAACAATTTGGAATTAATTTCGTTTTACTAAACTTAGAATGGCAAACGAATAAATGGCAACCTGATGGAAAGTAGTAACTGTATATGGCATGAATAACGCCATGGATAATGGGTGATAATGGAATGGTAACCCCACCCACGTCATTGTTATGATAGGTGAGGATGAAGCAGGTCAGTTAGCCCATCGTGACGAATTCAACAAGAATTGTTCATGATGGTTTCCAGGGGGAACCACGCGGAGGTCGACATAATAGGGCATATTGCTAGCAAAAACTTGTTAGCAATAGAGTCAAACTCCATTGCTAACAAGTTTTTGTGGCTGGATGCTCTATCTATATAATCTCAGATGGTGTTTCCCAACGTAGGGACCACGCCCCACAAGGGTACAGTTTGATAATTAAGGAGGAGGGGGGGGATTAAAACATGGACTAGAAAGCGATTTTAACCTTCTTGTTCCGGACTATTTAAATGCAATGCTGCGAGTAGATATCGATGCCAAATTTACCAAAAAAAAGTAAATAAAAAATACTGTAAATATTTATTAAGTAAAATTACATTTGACGTTACCTAAATATCAACTGGGCGATTAGAGTTGTCAAGTAAACTTTGTCGGGAAAAATTATGTATGGGGGCATAAAATTTCTAGAAATGTTCAAGTGAAATTAGTGTTCAAATGAAACAAAAAAGGTTGGGAAACACAGATCTAAGATATAATGTTCACCTGATAGGGCCGCTCTCCGGTGTGACAGCGCACGTGTCTGCGCAGTTTAGACAGCTCGACTGACGCGTAGTCGCACTCAGTACACTTGTGCGGTTTCTCGTGCGTGTGCTTGTATCGGACATGTCGCACCAATTCACCTGCACATACATGTTAGGACATGTACACCTTCAGGAATACAACTGTGGAAACCGCATCCAATTTCGTGCAGCAGTTTTTGCGTGATGCCAGAATAAACAGACAGACAAGATTTCTAAAAATATTGTTCTTATTTCTATTGATCTTATTAAGATCCCTTGTGTAATTTTTTTTTAAACATTTTCAAAATTTTTTTTACAATCTATTTTAATATTTCAATTTATATTAATTACTTACATTGTGTTACTAGTACTGAACTGAAAAAATGGCAAACAAGCTAACGGTCCACCTGATGGAAAGTGATAACCGTCGCCTATAGACATGAGCAGTACCATGCACATAACAGAGTGTACTGTTTCGCCCATGATACCCCCTATGCGTTACCATTCCTGAGCACTCAGATGTTATTCCTCTGTACCCAGTAAATTCGCTGCCATATCCCATCCTTCAAACCAAAACATAACCATGCAAACAAATAACATTTTTTTGATGAGTGAAAATGGTATGGTAATCCCGCCTGCGCTAACGGGATACGCTGGCGGAGCACCAGTGAAGGGTTATAGATGAGAATGAAAACATGCCAGTTAGCCCATCATGATGAATTCATCAGGAATTAACCATGATAGTTTCCAGGGAGAACCGCGAGGAGGTCGACCTGGTTGGGTATATTGGTCGCAAAGGGATTCTCAATCTCCATTACTAACAATCGCTTTCCCCCGGTAACTTGGATATTGGGTACAAGCCTCCCCATCTGGCTTCATTACTCTTTAATACTTGACGTGTTCATCCAAATTTAACCAGTTATATAGTGTAGATTAATATAAATCTACCTGAGGTGGTGAACGGGCTGTTGCAGTACTTGCAAACGTGGGGCTTGACACCATTGTGCATGTTCACATGGTTCTGCAAGGAGGAGACGGTCTTGAAGCCGCGCTCGCATACGTTGCACTTGTGCGGTCGCTCCTCCGAGTGGGACTTCATGTGCCGCAGCAGCAGATACCTGGTCATAGCACACCAATAATCATGTATACCATATATTCTCAAAAACTTTAAAACAATAATAGGGACAATAACGGGTCCTTGCCAATTAAACAAACATTTATACACAATAGGAGCCACAGACAGCCCTCTATGTATCTATATAGGCTGCTCACATGATCCTGGAATATGAAGCTATAGTCCCTCAACATTTAGAAATCCTCCTAACGGTGAGGTCGGTCAGTGAGGGCTATTAAGGTCCCAGGAAGCTTCTGGACTGGCTGTACTAGCCACCACTCATACGCACAACGGCCCATGTGTGTATATATATATATATATATACACATACATATATATATATATATATATATATATATATATATATATATCTTTGTATATATTTGTTTATATATAATAGTGCGCCACCTACCCTTTCAACGTCCTCTACCCAAAGGTTGTCTGGAAGAGATTGCAGCGAAAAGGCCGCCTTTTGTATCATTTCTCATTACAATTAAATGTATTTACTATTCTATAAATGGTGCAATAAAATGTAAAATAAATAAACATATAAATAAAATTTGTCCCCAGGGAGGTAACGTTAAATAGCTGGTACTTACCGCCTGTGACTGGTATACGAGCAAAAGTTGCAAGTGAAGTGCGGCCGTAGGTACTTGCGCTTGGTTGGCGGTGGCTTCACCTTGACCTCGTCGTCCTCCTCGCTCTGCTCGTCGCCACCATCCTCCTCCTCGTCCTCAAAGTTGTACACGTCCTCATTGCCCTTATCCTCCTCCTGAACCACGATAATAAAACTATAAATTCTTCCAATTTTTTTTTTTGAGTCGACCAGATCATTTTAATAGCACAGAGAGTAAACGAGCATGCGGCTCACCTGATGGTAAATGCCTATGAGTATACGTTAGATTACAGATATCCTGCCGGCCTTTTAAAAAGGAATATGCACTTTTCATGAAGGGTACAATGTGCCGAAACAATAAGGCTTATTAATGGATAATATTGAAGAAGTAACCCCACCTCGCTATTGGTATACAGCGACAGAGCAACAGTGAAGGATGATAGGTGCGGATAAAAGCAGGTCAGTTAGCCAATTAATCCAACAGCATCCCTTTTAGAACATCATCAAAAAACTAACAACAGTAGCCAACCCGGTTGCCAAGCGTGGCAGCTACAGGAAATACTCCAAGTGGGAGACTTATGTTCAGCAGTGGACAGTTAACATCTGACAAGATGATGATGATGATTTTATCATCAATCAAATAACGTATTTTCCATTATTACCTGGTCCATTTTAATGTCAATATTGACAACTGGCTTATTTTCTTCTTGGACCACTAGAACGTAGCTGACTTCGCCAGTGCTGGACTCCGATGGTACCAGGGTCACCGTCTGGTAGCTCTCGACGTCTACTAACATCTGATCGTCTTTAGATATACCCTGAGGACAAAGTAGGTTTTCAGTTAATTTGGAGACTACTTGAAAGTAAATAAGAAAGTTTTATTAACCGACCAACTACATTCATATAACAATAAATAAATATATGATATTTTGTAACAATATTATAGTTATTATATTGTTATATTCTTCAATGTATTTTCCGGCATAGAATAGCCCCCCCCCCCGTGTCCCCGTCCCCTCTTAAAACATCTCCAAAGCCTAACAGCGGTTGTAAACAGCTACTGGTAAAATTCCCCAGTGGGGAGACTTATCTTCAGGAAGTGTCTATAGGATTTTTATATAAAGAATAACATATATGGTGCAAAAATAATAAGATAAGTAATAAATTATTAATAGCTATATAGTAAGTATAGATAAATAGAATTAAAATATATACATGTACACATAGATAAAGGATATGGCCTGGGATAGAGCTGGCTGGAGGAAGATGCATGAATTAGTTGCACCGACAAGAGGAAACTCTTAAATAAAAAGAAGACACATAGATATATGTATAAACAAAGTTAAATATATATAAATATAGAATAATTATACATATAAGTAACTCAATTGTTAGTTGTATTGTAAACACTTTATAATTTTTTTATAATATTAACTTATATAAATTTTTAACAGAGTTTCAGTAACAAGTAGCACGAACCTCATTCTCTTCGGTAACTGCTGTTGGCAAGGATACCAAGTTCTGGTTATCCCCCGCCGGCTGGTAATAATACCGGCCCTCTTCATCCACGAAGTACGTAACACCTGCATCTTGCTCTTCCTCCCCATTTACTGAGGACAGTGGATCTGTAAGAGGTACTTATTCATTAGTACTTAGGTAGTACATGACTTGTAAAGCTAATTACAAATCTGCACATATGTACAGAAAGGCAATTAAAAAATATTAATTATATATTTTCAATTTATCACTAATCTCAGTTAAGAGAGTATTTCTATGACAGTTTCAAAAAAACTTGATTATGTATACATTATGTTTAACTAAGATAGTCCATACTAACATAAAGGAGTTTAAAATACTTTTGTATGGAAAAATTGTGTCATTTATTCATAGTGTCCATTGATAATTTTCATGCTACTTTCTAAAATTACTTTATAATTAAGTTCAAAATTCTAAAAATCAATACACAGATGTATTTATATAATTTTAAATTCAAATATTGCAACTTATATATTGTTCAACCATGTGGTTCTGAAAGATCAACTTTCAAAACGAATCCTGCGAGTGGACATTCATCAAATAAAAAAGTCAATCGAAAATAACACAGACATTGTGTATGAAAGGGGCGAGGGAACGTAAATTACATTTCCAGTAAAGAAATTCTATTTAATTTAAAAAGAAATACAAAAGTAAACAAAGTGAAAAAAAATAGATTATTTACCTGAAAGTACGGGCTCTGAATTCTCATCGATGATAGTTTGCAAAATAAGCTTGTTCTTGCCTTTTTTATCCGGCGGCGGCATGTCTGCAAACAACATGAAACATAAACCATTTCATACAAGGAGGCTTATAATATAATATCTTTTATAATACTGGAACATACGTGAAGTAAAAAGTTTGTACCCCTTTTTACAAAAATTACGCGGACGAAGAAGTATGAAATTTCGCTCCTTTATAGTTTATATAATATATAGAGGAGTGCAAAATGCTAATTTTTTTTTTAATTATTCATAATATATTAAATCAATAAAAAAAACATTACACACACTACCATATATTTGATACACACACATACACACCCACATAATAATATACTATTTCTTTTATTGGTAATCTGTGGTCAAATTGAGAATAGATTAATATTGCTTGTCTTTAATATTACTTGTCTATAGTCTTGCTGAATGTCAAACGTAACCATAATAGATTAATTTATAACAATATATGTTATGGTCGAATTTCGACCACGGGACGACCACTAGTATCGAGGAAAGCTCTGAAAATCACTGAGCTATTGATAAAATCTTCCTTGTGTCTGCATCATATATCCAGGGTTGAAGTTCCAAGATTAAAAGACATTTAATCAACTGACAATAAAAGCTATATGAGCTTTCGCAACGGTTTAATGCGAGAAATGAGTTTATTATTGATAAAAATGCTTTGTTATGTAATACCGAATAATTGAGCGTTACTCTTAATTTTTAGGTACTTTGACATTTTACATGGCGTACACTTATGCTCGTGTCATTAACCGAAACACGACACTGAAATTGGTAATATAATGGTATCTAGATTCACAAGTTACACCTATACGGAAATCACAATAGAACTGTACATGAATAGAATATATATATATATATATATATATATATATATATATATATATATATATATATATATATGTGTATATATATATATATATATATATATATAAAATCTGCCAAGATCATTGTTACGTGAGATATTGATATAACAATTACATGAGGTAATGATATTACTGTATACTAGTGAACCGGCCCGGCTTCGCATGGATTAACGGAATTATCTAAAATAATATGTAGCTTATGTGAGTCGCTGATATGCCAATCCCTCAGGTACATTACTTTTTACTGGACTACGACAACCTAATACGCTTCAATGTTTATCATCAGACATCCAAATTTATTTGTTTAGTAGCTAAGGCGTTAAAGTGTACCAAGCACCGTCGACGCCGACGATCAATTTTGCAGTGTTATTACTGAGCTACTTGATATATTTTTATGCCAAATGTGGTCACCCATCCTTGTTGAAACCAGGGCCGGGGTTGCTTAACTTGCATTATTATTAGCGATACGACCTCTAAGCAACCACTCCTCATTGTATTATATACTTAAATGATAATTACGTACCTAATACCTTCATAAAGTTTCAGCCAATTCAACTGATCGTTTATTTTATAGCATTTTATGTGTGATTCTATAATTTATTTTAGATTAATATATATATATTTTTTTTAATTATGAACCGATTGAAATAAACACTGTATGTTAAATGAAGCAAACCGTAACACAGTAGTGAAAACCGCATTTAAATCTGTTAAACCGTTTCTATATTATTTGACAAAAATCTATTTGTACTATGCGTACTAACATAACTGTTGAGAGGGAAGAGATTATTAGTAATGTAGTCTATCTGTCCCATTGCTAGCAATATACCCTATCAGGTAAAACTCCATGTGGTCCCGCCTGAAAACCATCATGCTGAATTCCAAGTGTATTCATCACGTTAGGCTAACTGACCTGCCTTTTCATTCCCACCTATCATCCCTCACTGACGCCCAGCCAGTATATACCCCTAGCGCAAGTGGGGTTACCATTTCCATTTCATTATCATCTATTAAAAAAAAACATGTTATGCCATACTAAACCTATACCTGGTCAAGAAATGGGCAGCAGCGTCCCACTTGAAACATCACCAAAGCCTAACTGCGGTTTCTAACCAGCCTGTCACACATGGAATCTACTGGCAAACCTCCCGTATTTGGGAGGCCTATGTTCGGAAGTAGATATATATAATGGATGATAGGAAGCACTATACTAGTAATATTATAATTGTGAAAGTTGCTAAAGATGTGTGAATGTTTGTCACTTAATCACATTTGAATAGCTAAATAGATTTGAATGAAATATTGTACACAGATAGGTAGGATCCTAACTATAGGATACCTTATATAATGATGACAGACAAAGCTGCAGGAAAGAGCTATTTCTAAACGATTCCAACACTATTAATACATAATTTGGTTTAAGGTTTTAAGCATTACAACATCAAAAGTGTCAAATGATCAAGTACATTTCTAAATATAAAAAAATATTCAATTAATTATTACCAAATCTAGTCATCCAAATCCCTATATTTTGTACAAAGGAAGAAAATTTTGCAATTTTTTTAAAAAAATTAAAAATAACCTAAGTTAATGCTGTCAGTTAATAATGATGACAAAAAAGGTAAATTGAAGATTTCATTAAAATTTTTATTATCAAAATAAAAAAATTAATTATATGGGTTTTCACCATTGACACGAATTACACAATCACAGTGAAATGGCTTGCTTAAAATCAGTTCGTCAAAATCATTTTGAGAAATGGCTGCCCACGTTTTTTGTAACAAGTCAAATTGTTGTGGAGTATGCAGGGTATCCCTACTCGGCAGACCTCTTCTTTGGATTGAGCAGGCCATGGCAGAAAGTTGATATGAGCGTCGACAAGAATGTGAGGACATGCAATCTCCTGCATTAGTTGAAACAAATCACCCATCTCGCTTGACAAAGGGATTAATAACTTTGAAACAATCCTTTCTGCATAAATCTGAGCATTGAGAATCAATCCAAAAAAATTTTTTTTTCCTTTATATGAATGAACTTCCTAACAAAATTTCAAACGTTCTTGACGTTCAGTGGTTCCTCCGAATTCGAATACGTCTTATATCTGATCTCATATTGAAAGGAGATTCATCAAAAAAAAAAAAAAAGTAGGCGCCAGTCTTCTTCCTCCCATCCTCCCAATTTTTGTACTCTAAAACATACTTGATCTCTAGACACTTTTGACATTTATACAAAGAAATTTTAACCCATATCTTCCCGGAGATACTTGAATTTATTGAATTTAAGTAAAACTCCTTTCAGTTACTATTTAAAGGATAAAAAATATAAATACATATTTTTTTTTTCAGAACCCTTTTAAAAATGGAACACTAGACATGGCTCTGTAATTTCTTAGGTGTTTTAAGGTGTGAGTAGTGAAAATAAATAAATATATTATACAGATATTTTACATAAGTGTTACAAATACGTAGTTAGTGAAATTAAGTTCAAATATTAATATAGATTTGCCAAATCATCATAATTATTACATAAGTATATCTAATATTAGTATGATAATCCATACACACTAACTAAAATAACTGACTTGCTTTTTGACATGAAATCTCACAACTTTTTGTAGTGGAAGAACTGCATTGCAAGACTAGCATTTTTTACATTTTATATATTTGATGGGCATTTTTTTATAAGTCATCCTCTTTTCGTTTTCTAAGGTATGGATGCTTTATATAAATAATGTAGTTCCAACATACAATAGGCTACCTCTTCCTTTCCTATAAATGTGACTAAAGGAATTTAATGCTAGAAGGATAGGCAGCAGCACCCTACCTAAAACATGTCCAAAAGCTTAAATGTAGTTGCCAATCTGCCTGCTAAGCATGGCAACTACTGGCAAATATCCCCTTATGCTCAGCAACAGCTTATGTTCAGCAGTGAACAATTATGGCTGAATTAATTACTTTACATTTAATGAAAATGATTAAAAATTTTTTCCTTTCTTTATAAGCTAACTAAAATCCAAAATTTGTACTTTGTAAGATTACTAGAAGTATCTTATAATTTTGATTATCAGTAAGTTTTTGAGTATAAAATTTAAAAAACCTTTGACTAGTAATAATGCATAAACCATAAGGTATAATTATTAAATATATTGGTAATATGCCCTGTTACATCTTCTTAACCACTAAAATTTAAACTTTTAGCATTATCCACAATAAACTTACAGGACGGTTTAATGTAATGAATCACTTCATGAAAAGAATAGTAGGGCTGTGCTCAGCTCGATCTAAGCACTATCATACCTCCTGATCACTAATAATAGAATGGTTCATAAAAAAGTTAAATACTATACAATAACCCCTGTTTTATAACAAATTTTATTTATTAAATCAAAATAGAACATACTAGAAATTAATCAATAATAAAATATTGTAACACTTTGAACAAACTATAAAAAATATTTGCAACAAAAGAATTCTTTCACACAAAATCTTAAAATTGTTAATACATATATTTCTCCCAAAAAATATTTTTTAATAGCCGATAGTGTTTAGTAAATTAGATAAAAAAAAGTATTATATACATTTAGAAATAAGTAAAAGAAAAAAAAAACATATAGCAACTGTCCCAATAATGAAACACTGGGATGATGTGGATTATTCATAATTCAAGCCTGATATAATGAAAGCAACAAGATAAAAATTTGCTTTGAGAACTGTCAATATAAAGTGGCAAACCTTGTAGGGGCCTTCCAACCCTGGTTTCAGTAAATTATGCAGAAATTGTGTAGTGAACTGCTCATTATCAACGTAGCTAGGCCGCCATCTTAGCAACATATAACATTTGATTCAACATGTTACCACAGCACTTGTTAGGCACCACTTTCATCAATCACAATAAAAAAAATCATACCCAAACAATAATTAAGATCAAATAGCGCCACAAACTGAGAACTAGGAGATGATCACAGACGGCGCTGTCGTCAACGGGAAATTAAAAACTTGATAAATAGCTAGAGGAAAGAATCAAGTCTTCAACAATTACCACTCTTTGTTCTGGCACGTGTGCAAACATGTTCGATCGATATTATTTACATATTAGATAACATAACCGATAATGAATAAAATTAAAGAAATAACTCTAAATCAGTACCTGTAAGACTATAAGCTTCTAAAATTTCCCAATGAGGGCGTTTTAATCAATTCAATATGCGATAGTGACGCCGAGATGGTGACCGAGAGAACTACTAACGCAAAAGCCGACTTCAGTGATACCAACATAATTTTAAACATTCGGGCAAAATTTATTAAAAAAAAAGAATGGCTTGAATTGAATTGATCCAAAAATTATAAAATTATTACGTTTGTACATTAAACAAAACTAAAAAGGGGTAAAATTTGGAAAATGCACAATTTTTTTTTTCATAGTGCAAGTTTTTACATAATGCCACAGATTAATTTGATACTTATGCGAGTGACTTCTATATAAAATGAAGTACTTATCTGTTAATATTATTGACATTTTTGTTAACTTCCCTAATTAGCGATTATCTAAAACAAGTTACTATTTTCATAATTATAAGTAATTTTTAGAAAACAACAATAATAATACCATTCTAAAATTTATATGTTAAAGAGCATCATCCATTGTAGGTATATTATATACTATATACATTGTAGGTATACGGTATACTCTATATATATATATATATATATATATATATATATATATATATATATATATATATATATCACCAATATGGCGCACTCAGGTTTCGATCACAAATTTAAAAACATACTCAAAATAAAATTAAAAAATAAATCATACAAAAAAGGTTTATCACAAAATTTTTTGTTTTCTTTCGGAAGACCTAATGAGGATGTAATTTTAGGTGAGATTTGAATTTAATGTCTGGTTGGATGTTTGGGTTAAAATAATGTGGATGTAATTTGGACGAATAAAAATAAGAACTAAATGTGTTCACAAAAAGGCTAAATAAGCAACTTTAACAAAAGTGACATTAGTGTAGCCAGAATGAAAATATTCGTTGCTACATCAGTAAACAAGATGGCGTTGAAAATAAATTAAAGAAAATAAATACAACTGTCAGTGAATTATGTTGAACGCAACATTAAACAAATATGAACGCATCTAGAAAATTTAAATAGTAGAATAAAGTATATACTACTATTATAGTAATTTTATATTATTTTATATATTTTGTTTTATTAGGTTAGAAATTACAATTAAAAAAAAATATAAATTAAACTTAGATTATATAAAAAAATTAGAACTGTTCTTTATATAATATGTCTAATAAACATTTAATAATATGATTGTATCTAAGAATTTGCCGTGTAGTCCCAGCTTACCGTGTGGCCTCAGCATAGAATAGGCCTCCTCTTCCCGTGGGTGTCGTAAGGGACTACGGGAGGGCGAGGGATGAGCAACAGCATTTCTCTTAAAACATTTCCAAAGCCTAACTGCGGTTGCCATTCCGCCTACCAAGCGTGGCTCCAACTGACAAAACCTCCCAAGGGGGAGGCTTATGTTCAGCAACAGAGATTTATAGGTTGATATGATGATGATGATCCAAGAATTTAATTATTTATTGTTTAATTTGCTTTGATATCGCATTTAACTGAATAAAAACTACTTCTATATATTTATTTTTAGTAAATTTTCGTATTCGGTGTTAGATCTTATTTGTACTGCATTTGTTTAAATTGGTTTAATTTATAGAAAGAGAAAAAAACAACAACGTGGTTTTTTACCGCACTTATACTCATCCATGATCAAAGATAGTGGATTAAATCCTAATTTTAGATAGTGATCTTTTTCTTATTTCAATTTCAAATTAGTAAATGAGACAGTTACATTAGATATTTTTTTAGCTTTTTAATTTAACTAACATACGGCATACGGAAACATAAATAATGCTTATTTTTTTTTTAATTTAGTATGCACATCATAAAATTTGCCGTATCGATTTGGTATAAAATGGGCTACTCCTTCCTTTCTTGTGGGTGCCGTAAGAGGTGACTAAGGGAACATAATGATTGGGGGATGGGCAGCAACGTTCTTCTTAAAACATCACCAAATGTTAACTGCGGTTACTAATTCGCCTGCCAAGTGTGGCAACTACTAGCAAATCTCCCTGTATGGGAAAGGCCTATGTTCAGCAGTGGACAGTTATTGGCTGATATAATGAAAAAAAAAATTATAAAATTTAAATAAAAAACAGAACTGGTGACCAATACGAACTTACATTTACATTACACACTTTTACATGATTACGAATACATTTACATAATTTTAATTTAATACCTAATTCAATGTATTTAATATGTATATTATTAAAATACTGGATAGTATAATGGAAATTATTGCGCCCTCTCTTGCTTTTATTTTCAATAAATGTATAGATGAAGGTTCCTAACATAATGAAAATTAGTAAAATCATACCGCTTTTTAAATCTGGAGATAGGAGTGACCCAATAAATTATAGACCTATATCCATACTCCCAGCACTCAGTAAAATTTTTGAAAAAATAATCCTTATGCAACTTGTCAGTTATTTCAATTTAAATAATTTAATCCACAATAGTCAATTCGGTTTTTCCAAAGGTCGTTCAACTACAGACGCAGGTGCAGAGTTGCTTAGACACGTATTTGCTGCATGGGAAACTAAAATGGATGTGATAGGTGTTTTTTGTGACCTTTCTAAGGCTTTTGATTGCGTTGATCATAATACATTGCTAAAAAAACTTGCTTTTTATGGCGTCAAAGACAATGCTTTAAATTTAATAAAATCTTATCTATCTGATAGAATACAGAAAGTGAAGATTAGCAACGCTACGTCTGACGGGTCACTTGTGCAAATGGGTGTACCTCAAGGATCTATTCTCGGTCCATTTTTATTCCTAGTTTACATTAATGATCTCCCATATGCCATGCAGGATAGATGCGGCATAGTATTATTTGCAGACGATACTTCATTGATTTTTAAAGTTAATAGAATGACTAATAATTATGACGATGTAAATAGTGCTTTGCGGCGTCTCCTGCACTGGTTTACAACTAACAATCTTATGTTAAACGCTAAAAAAACAAAATGTGTTAATTTCTCTCTGTCTAAAAGTTTTAATACTAATTGCAATATTAAATTAAATGACGAATCTCTCGAATTTATAGAATCTACTGTCTTTCTAGGAATCACACTAGATAATAAAACACAATGGGGTGCACAAATTCAAAGCCTTGCAGCGAAACTAAGTTCAGCAGCTTTTGCCGTGCGTAAAGTTAGACAGTACACTGATACTGATACTGCTAGATTAGTCTATTTTAGTTATTTTCATAGTTTACTCTCTTATGGAATATTACTATGGGGAAAAGCGGCAGATATTAAGAATATATTCATATTACAAAAACGTGCCGTTCGAGCGATCTACTGTATGAAGAGTCGTGACTCATTAAGAGAGAAATTCAAAGAGGCAAATATTCTCACCGTTGCTTCTCAATTTATATATTCAAATATCCTATATGTTCATAAAAATCTTGACTTATTTCCAAAAAACAGCAATATTCATAATATTAATACTAGATTTAAAGACAAACTTGCTGTCCCCAAGTATCGTTTAGAAAAAGTTAATAGGTCTTTTATGGGAATAGGTATAAAAATTTACAATAAGATACCAAAGGATATGTTGGAATTACCCTTAAATAAATTCAAAACATCTGTTAAATCATATTTACTGAGCAAAGCCTATTACTCACTAAACGATTACTTGAATGACGAGTGTGCATGGCAATAGTTGTTCATGCACTGAATTTTCATTTAATGTTAGACATAGACACCTATATAAATATACATTGTAAATAAACTGGCTTTTAAAAAAAAAGTAATTCAATTGAGTTTCTTGCCAGTTCTTCTCAGTTGGATCTATATACCGAACTGGACGGTAGGGAAAAAAATAAAATTATAATGTAAAAATTTGACGTTCATAAGCGGCTAAAATGTCCTACATGAATAAATGATTTTTGAATTTGAATTTGAATTTGAATTTGAATGAAACAAAATAATTTTATTTCACAATTTTCAACCTACTTTAATTTGGACGTTATTATTAATTCGCCTGTTCTAAATAGAGTTTGTTTTTATATCTTGTCAAAATTCTGTATCTATTTCAACTGTTCACGCAATTCACAGTGTATGTAACTACATTTTATAAGAAAGAAAGGGATTGTTAGTAATGGAGACTGAGAATCCCATTGCTAGCAATATACGCAACCAGGTCGCCCTCCTCGCGGTTACCCCTGGAAACTATCATGGTTAATTCCTGATGAATTCATCATGATGGACTAACTGGCCTGTTTTCATTTTCATCGATCACCCTTCACTGGTGCTCCGCCAGCGTATCCCTTTAGCGCAGGCGGGGTTACCATACCATTTTCATCCATAAAAAAAAAACATACCTATTGCTAGCAATTCACTGCCATATCCCACCCTTCAAACCGAAACAGCCATGCAAACACAACTACTTCACAGTAGAAATACAAATTATTAATGTTATATACTTACTAACTTGTATATACCTTTACGAAAGATGATATTTTGTTCGTACACAATTGATTTCACCAAAGTAGATACATGTGTGGCGTCTGTAAATGAATATTGTACATATTCATCTCATAGCCACTTGTCAACATCATTACTTTCTTTTCCATCAAGTAGGTTAATTAAATTGTAAACATAGATATTTCACCTCTTTCTTTCTTTCGGACTGGTCGTACAGACATGACAGCGACGTTTACTTCTTACATACATTTCTGCTGTCATTCTCTCCATCTCGATCGTTCGCCTCTTACACTTCTAAATTCCGTTTTTATATATTATTTTCTACATATTCCTTTGTATATAATATTTACCTTCTGTATATAATATATGTAAATAGACAAAGTCGGTTGTTATACTTATTTCCACCGAACAACTACACATGAACACAACTTTTTT